ATTGACATAGATAATTTGAATAAAATGGATATTTGCTAATTCGAATTTCCTCTACTTTTCTTAAATTTTTAGGATTTAATAGTTGTTTTTATATGTTTCCTGTATTTAACTTTTTCTAATTTTCACATATAGTAAAGTTGTCACATAAATGTACAAAATGATACAAAAACTAAAAGTTTTGATCGTTTTCTAAGAGAGAACTAACACTCTTTACGGATTTTTTGGCTCAAATCTATACTTAGATTTGAAGCATTTAAAAGCCAACATAGTTCTAGTATGTGTGAAAAATCTTATTTCTTTATATATTTTGAATATTTATTATTATTATATATATTTATTATTAACTTACATTTGAAAATTTCCTCTAGTCTTTGATTGCGTAAAAATTATAACTAAATTCAATGTTCTATAATAATTTTGAGAGGCAGAAAAGAAGATACTTTCATACGCCACCGTTCCGCCAAAAATATAGTCCCAGCTAGTTTTGAAACGCAGTTTACCATTTCTACTTAAAGTTGTATAATTGTGATGAGGATAGAAAAATATGGTCTTTTAAATCTATTACATCTGAATATATAAGACATATCAACAAATATACTTTGAATATTCCATTTAGTCAGAAACCAGAGAAGAATCCTACTTTAAGAAAGGTCTTGTCAAATGTATTAGATATGTGAAGGATGAAAGTCCTAGCCTTAACCGTTCAAAAGTTATGGCCCAAGTTTAAGTTTTTAAAAAGTAGGTCAAACTCCAAAATCAAAGGGCCAAAGTTCTTGATAACCAGTGTCTTGTCACATGGATGAAATACCGGGGTATGTGAGTTTTGAAAGCCCTAGCTCTACTCCTTCAAAAGTTATGGTCAAGGTTTCTTTTTAAAAAGTAGGTCAAACTCCAAGGTCAGAGTTGTTGGTATCCAGTGAAAGGTCTTCTTATAAGAATTACACATGTGAAGAATGAAAATCCTAGCCTTTACCATTTAAAGGTTATAGTCAAGGTTAAAGTTTTTTCATAAGTATGAAAAGCTCCAAGGTCATGGTCAAAGTTGTTGGTATTCAATGAAAAGTCTTGCCACAAAAAATACATATATGAAATATGAAAGTCCTAGATTTGACATTAAAAAGTTATGGCCCTTCAAAAGTTATGGTCAAGGTTTGTTTTTTAAAAGTAGCTCAAACTCGAAGGTCAAGGTCAAAGTTCTTGGTATTTAATGAAAGACCTTGTCACAAGAATTACGTATGTGAAATATGAAAGCCCTAGCCCTCACCGTTGAAAAGTTATGGCCGAGGTTAAAGTTTTTGCAGAAGTACAGAGATCTCCAAAGTCAAGGTCAAAGATGTTGGTATCCAATGAAAGGTATTTCCATAAAGAATACATATATAAAATATGAAAGTCCTAGTATATACCGTTCAAAAATTATGGCCAAAGTAAAAGTTTTTAATTTTTATATAAAAGTGGGTCAAACTCAAAGGTCAAAAGTCAAATTCTGTGGTACCCAAAGAAAGGTCTTGTCACAAGGAATAAACATATGAAATATGAAAGTCATAGCTACACTGAATCAAAAGTTATGGCCAAGATTAAAGTTTTTGTGACGGACGCACAGACAGACGAACTGACGAACAGATGAATGAGATTTAATGTCCCCTCGCTTTCGCAAATGCGGGGGACAAAAAAAGTGTTTGTAATTAACAGCTTGTTTGAAAACTTTGAAAAAATTATCTTTATTCTGCAGGGTATACAGGAATTCTCATGATGACATTGACCTTTGACCTTTAAACTAAATTACTAAGTTACCCTTCTGATTAGCACGATTTTATTCTGGAGACTGGCATGCAAATGTTGTGCATGCTTTTGTCAGGGTTTGTTCAGTATTTGGACCATAAAATCGTAACTCAGGTAGTTACTTTCATGTAAATTAGTCGAATCTCAAGTTAAGCCTCTGACAACAGAAAACTCGGCCCTCCACGATGATACTAAGTATCTATATGTAGCTACGGGAATAATGACATCAGTGAAATTATCAAAAGAAGTCCACCACAAAACGGTTTTTAAGGATGTTACCAACAACTTCATTAATGTTTAGGGGGCTAGTGAGGATATATATAGATTAAATTGATTAAAATCACAATTACAAAATTTGCCAGTTACTGTTGTGGTAAGAGAAAGAGTTGATATCCACTGAATTGATCACGTGAACAGCTAGTTTAAATAATAAAGACTGATATCAAAATAATTGATCACGTGATAATAAAGAGGTTTATTGTACTAAACATCGCCAAATGTTTGCGACACCACATTATCGCGAGTTTTACATTAATTTAATACTACTTGTAGTATGTACATGTATTATCCGTTCAGTCAAAGAAGCTCGGTGAACAAGGCATGCAGAATGTCTGTAGCTTCAGACATTTAACAAAAACATTCAGTTTGTAAATTATGTATTAAAGCAAAGTTCAGATAATATTATGAAATTCTCATAAATAAAACTTTTCCGAGAAAAAAATCTCGGAAAATTTATTCTTTTATTTAAAAATAATTGATTTTTTTGGGATTCGAATCCTATCAATTAAACTCCTATGCTTTTTTTTTTTTTTTTTGCGAGATGTCTGTAAATTGTAGAGATTTTATATTAAATATCGTACACATTAAAATCAGATGGAATATCAAAAAAGTTTTGAAATAATTAAGATTTTATTGTTCACTTCATGTTTGTCGCACTATATGCATTTCGCCTGTCTTGTTCACCCACCTTTTCACTTTTCACAAATGCTTGGTTTTATTCTAATTCTGATCAAATATAATCGAAAATAAATATTTCGTGAGCAAATAATCTAGTGCAATAACGCGAAAATAAAGTTTTAACGAATAAAATATTAATTTACAAAGTAGAACAGAGGATCCACATCATGAAAGGAAACTTCATTCAGTTTCATTTTAGTGTGATAAAAGCTTGAAGAACTTTGAAAAATTACTGTGTCTCGCTACTGTGTACGTGACAAATTTGTGACATTTTTTAATGTTCTTGATCCACTTTCATAAACGACATTTTGGACTCTTCTATTTTTATTTGGGAACAGATATTTTTTCTCTATTGTCCATTTAGATAAACATATGATCATTGTTTCAAAAAAAACAAATTGTAAATTTTTCAGTATCAGATTTGAGTAAAATATCACAGTCTTCTTTCATATAAAAAAGATTTACGATATTGGAATTAAGAAAACTTTTTAGAATCATTTTTTATATTTACGCCAACAGAAGGAAATCAATCAGCATTTCCCCCCATTCTTTGTATCTCAGTAAATGTCTTGAATATTTTAACAAAACAAGCAAATCTCTCCTGCAATTAATATTAAGAATGTAAAGAAGTGAATTTAAATAAGCTCATTATATATTCATCATAGTTCTCATCAATCCACGCTGGTTCGCTGTTCCTCTCTATCCCCCATTGTTTGTATGAATTCACCACCAATGGCAGCGTGCCCCTAACGCTGCATCTGAGGTACTCTATATTTTACCCCTTCGCGCATAACTTTTTTTTTTAGTCCCCAAATCTAAATGACAAATTTTAAATAGTATCCTTTTAATACCGGTATATGCAGACGGGTTCTACTGAGGCGCTTCGCTGTCTCTGGCGCGTGCATTGCACGTGCGCACCTAATACCGTCAGTCGCCGAGCTTTGTCATATTATGTAATAATGCAACGCTTCTTGACTTGAATATTTTGCAAGATCTCTCTTTAAAGCGGCGCCTTTGAAAAATGTTTAAAAAAATAAATGGATGATTAGCAAGATTCCTTATGAACATATATGTATAATACATGTGTTGCTTAAAAAATGTTGGTGCTTCACTTAATTGTGGAGTTTTCTTACTACGTACAACACTACCCGCCATTCATCTTCTTTTTGACACTAATCTCTGTTTAAACTTTTTATAAAATAATGTCATGGAGATAGGCCTTAAATACCTGACATATTGTGCTAAAATGCCACACAAATGGAGTTTTAATGTAAGGTATAAGGCTTTGTAGATCCTCCTTTTATACCTTATACAAGCGGAATATTGTAAACAACATCCATTTCTCTGTCGTAAGAAATCGTTGATTAATTACTGGATAGCAGAGGTTACAAGCTGTATAGACAACATAGAAACAAGTACTGCATATTATTCTATGCTATTTTCCAGTATTATAAATTCCTATTTTAGATTCAGAAGCATTGGTATATTTTTACAATTATACATACTACACTTTATCTAAATTCTTAAAAGCGGGCAACTGACATTTCCACTTTCGATCTTAAATTTTGGGTTTCGATTATCAGTATTTTACTGTTCTACATAGTTTTGTGATATCATGTTCGATCCCGATTTGCTCCATCAAAGGTAAACCTAGAACTTTTAATAACCCATTCCGATATTAAGGTCGTAGGGTCCAAACTAGTTCCCTAATTTTCGGAGAGGTTATCTGCCCCTTTAGTCACGTCACCTGAAGCCCGGTGATAATGGAGTCTGATACAGTATCTCCCCGTCAGGAAAACTTAAGGGCTTTGGTGGACCGAGAATAATCTAGATTACCTCGACAATCGTTTTGAAGAGCTATGAAAATATTGCGCTACAATAAAAGTTTTCTTTGGGAAGCGTTTAGTCCAATTGCAATATATAAATGGTGCCTGTTTTGGAGGGTAACAGTTGAAATTGGCACCCCAAGGAAAACCAATGTCAACCGACGCGTCAGCGGAGGTTGACAATGGTTTTCCGAGGGGTGCCAATTTCAACTGTTACCCTCCAAAACAGGCACCATTTATTTTATTATACTGAATGTCTTAATTTTAAAGAAAACTTTACTTCTTTTAAATTTCTTTAATAATTGATCAAAATATAAACTTCAACAACAAATTCATGTTTTGAAAATTATGTAAACAATAAATTGAAGTAGTTCTACAATAAATTAAAATGTTCAACAATGAATAAAATATTGAAAACAACTTGACTTCAGTCATTCTTCATTTTTGATTGTAGAAATTGAAATTTACAGTACAGTTATTCAGATTTGGACAAATTTGAATCCCTGGTAGTTGTGGGATAATGTTAGAACTTTGAGCTCTCAAAACGCTAATTTCTTGTTTCTCACAAGTAACGTAATTGCTGGATGAAATTTCTTCAAATGTGGAGTTATTAAAAATTTCATCAAGATCCGTTTTTGTTAGATTAGCCAGCGGATCCTCTTCTATTAGATTAGCCAGCGAATTTTCTTGATCACTACGGGATTCAGTAGCAAGGTACTTATTACATGTAACAGTTCCCAAAGCTGAGCTAAGGCAATCGGACATTTCTCTTTTCTTGTTCTCATTTAGACGACATGCATAGCTTCGAATTGATGATTCGTTTTTGTGCCCCGAAGCACGCATGATATGTCTGGCCTCTATGCCGGCGTCATCCATCGCCGTTATTACTGTGGCGCGTATAGAGTGGTTTGTGTATAAGCGGGACAAGTTAGCTTTCTTTGAAATTTCAGACATAAGACAAGCCAGAGTGTTCTTTCCTACTGGAGATCTGCAGTACCATGTTTCGTTTTCTTCTGAAAAAGCCTCTAATGGACGCTGCCACAATGCTTCTAATTTCTTGTGTAGCTTTGACAAATACTTTTTAAATGTAATCACTGGGCACATATCTCCTGATTGAGGTTGTGCATACATTCTTGCTTCTCCAATTGTTTCGTCTGGTGTTGCATTGGATCTAAAGAATATTTTTTTGAAACAATAATGAAAATCAACATACATAATGTTTCAATATTCCATAACAATGAACCATTACCCCTTCCTTTACAAAAAGTGATAAAATATATTTACCCATGATTTTTGTCCGCTTCATCAATTGCCTGGTACACAAATTCTCTCCCAGTTGCATCAGTATCAATTCCAAACGTTTTTTTGGTCATTTTTCGTAAGTTCTCCCGACCTCGTCTGCACAAGTAGAACATCAAATCAAACCATACTTTGTTTTGTAATCCACATGGTGTATTAACATTGAATACAATACTCTCACTATCATACAGTTTTTTTAAGTCCTCTGTGGAAATTGGTGGTTTGTGATCCACGGATCCAAATCCCTTCTTTTTCATGTCTGTGAGGGCTGCCTTGTAAACTTGTTTTGACTCGTTAAATTCTGGACCGTCCACATCAATTTTGCAAGTGTCCTTCAAATACTTAAACAAGCCATATTTTATGTTGTTCAAAGAACTAACTTTTAGACTAGTTCCTGCTTTTGTCCTAATGGAAACATAAAAAAGTCTTAGGTTTTCATTGAGTTCTTCTTTAGAGAGACCTTCGAATTCCCCGCTTCCTCTTTTTTCCATCAGGAAGGTGCGGAAAAGATTAACGGATCGTTTTATGGTGCGCTTAGTACTTACGGAATCTTTGTCATCTAATAATTTTGTTATTTCAGACTCCTCTACATCCGCGAACATTTTTATTTCTGGTCGAACCTTTCAGGCTTTCTATCGTCTGTTGATTTTATTCAGTCGTATTTAGGCGCAAGCTTTGAAAATGTCACAATAATCGCTTGTCTTCAAACGCACAACTGACTTCTTCAGACATATTGAGAATTCTACGGTGAACCGTACGCGCATAATTTCAACGCATGTGGCATTACCGTTGTGTTACCCGTTGTCAGGTGTGTTGCTAAGGCTCAGGGTAATCGAACGGATTGTTAACTGCGTCTAAACCAATCAGATTTTAGTATTTAACATGAAAGTATAATAATAATAGTTATCACTTGTTACTAACTCAGGTGAACCGGCACGTGGAAAAAATGTTACAATCAAAGTCCTTGTAGTTGCAGATTAAATTTTCAGTTCCTTTTGTATAACGATAACCAGTATAACTGGTCCCTCCTGCGTTTGACGATAGGCATAGCGGCAAAAACATACTTTCTGTTCTAATAATCCGTAATTTGCACGTCTCTCTTGATGCAGCTAAATGTTAAGTATAATTTCTGATCTTCACATAATTTTTTTCTGAATATAATAATACTAATTTCTACTCAACAAAAAAAAAAAAAGAAACGCATATTCAGATTAAACATGATATTCTAAGTTTTCAGTTTAAACCTTAATTTTTAAAAGATATTTTAGAGTGTGTTGTGATAAAAATCAAACATGTCCTATGTTCCAAACAAGTTAAGTTGATGTCAATGACGTCGCCTCCAAATTCTAGAGGTATGCGTCTTAACCAGTCCATATGTCTTTTACGACCTCTCAGCGCTAGTGGATTTCAAATGTACGGACGTCGTGCAGGTCCTCTCAGTCTCTTGCGAACAATTTGTGCACTTTATGCTGATTTCAGCATTTTGTACAGCAATTCTGAGTCGATTGCGCGAGTGCTGAAGGAGGATCTGACGGTCCTGTCCGGGTGTGGTAACCTGCGGACGGCCAGTTCTTAGTCTGTCATTCGTGTTCCTAGCTGGTGGAGACGTGCGTTTAACAGCTGCAAAGCCGATTGATGTACACCAAATGCAGTTGCAACTTCATGTTGCGTAGCTCCGGTTAGTATCATTGTTAGAGCCCTGTTGCGTTCATCTTTGTTTAGGCCTGGCATTGCAGCCACAACATTGCAATCAAAGCAGAAATATGGGTTTAATAGGAGTGTTTATTGTTTCTCTAAAGTCTAAATCCAAAATTTCATTGAAAATAGACTCCCGATTTACAAGAAATCATGCAAAACACTATTTTCATAAACATGATTAATCAAGTGAAATGATTCAACAAGTGGGGTTGAAAAGCCCATGAGGTACTTTAAATAGGTCACAGGTATCCAATGATAAAAAAAGATAGTTGTTCCATGCATATACTTTTTCAAAATTTCTTTGATGAGTTAAACAATATGCGTCTCTTTTTTGTTGAGTATACTTTGAACGATTGAGATATCCACTGATCACTTATCGATATTTATAAATGCACATGTTTTAACCATAAAGTGTGAGCGCTTTAGCCTAAAGTCAAGAGGGTCGTACTGTCTGAACTCAATAACCAGGTCATCATGGCACTGACCGTGATTTCAGGAAGGGACGCCATTTGTAAAAGCTAAGTTACCCAAACACTAATGTTCCCAGAGTCCAACAGAAGTCAGAAACTCTGCATACTCCGAACAGATGTCGCTCTTTAGTTCTACAGAATAAGAATCTTGCGTGTCCCTTATTTTAAGAAGTGCAAAGGCGATAAAAAGGTGTTGATTTGTAAAGGCGCCAAATGGATGACATTTTCTGTGACATCACGTCATTACAAAGGGAGATAAGCGTGTATATCAAAGGAAAATGATCAAAGATGACGTCTGATGTCGTTTTCTCGTTCTACAAATCAACCCTTATGACCAGTATAGACATTGTGTCTGCCTTGGATACTTATATAAGAACAGTACAATTTAACCCAAAGTTTCGTGTACCAGTGTGTTTGTACTGTGGAATTGGTATCTCAGTGCTTTAACATGAAAGAACGTAATATAGCTAAAAAAAAATTTCTTTCACAAAGAATTGATAATGCAGAACTGCAGATGTCATATATAACAGCTTTTGTTCTAATAAGGTGCAGACAAAATAATAAGAATTAAAAAAAATCATAATCCTGATATTCTCGAACTGATAACCTTGCGCTGAAGTCAAATCAACCCGTCAATGTTTGTGCAGAAGATTTTGGTCATCACTCAGAGGTTCCATCATATCGACCGTATACTTCCCACAATCTTTGAATTTAAATCACATAATGGAAAAAAAAATGAAATCCTCAAAAACACTTCTCTTTGCAGTTGGCCATTATGAACACATGATGTAATGAACTGTTGCCTCTGTGGACGAACTTGGCGAATCAATTGTAGGGAGCGGGAGATAACTCGCTGACGTGCCATTGTTGATTTATAAATCTGGTAGAACGCTGATTTCTTTCATTCCCAGAGATCCATACTCTGGAAAATAGGGATCATCTTCACGTGTATTAGTGGTCTAAAAATTAAAAAAAAAGAAGGCAAGCCATTAAGAATTTCCATAAACAATGAAATCAGAAGGACAAAGAGAAAACAATCTTGAGTGTAATGGCAAACTTGTTTTAAAAAACTGGAAATAAAAATATATGCACATTCTGATTAATACACTTGAAGCGAAATTGTTTGACACGAGCTAAAATTGGCACATGGGTTCGAATTTTATAAACATTGAATATTGAACCTTTTCTTTGTGTGAAAAAAAAAATATGATACTGTGATATTTATTCCCCATATTTTTTTCAACATGCAGCTCAGTAATTTTTCTCAGCACGTCAGGGTTCCTGAGTCAACTTTTTGCCTCCAACAGAAATGTGTTGACATAAGTATCCCTTATGTTGTTTGGTACAACGTAAGGGATCCTTAAGTTAATAGTACATAGCAGCGTAAGAGATTCTTAGGTCAACAGTACAACAACGTAAGATATTCTTGTGTCAACAGTACAAAACAACGTAAGGGATCCTCAAGTCAATAGTAGAATACAACGCAATGGATTCTTAGGTCAACAGTACAAAACAATGCAAATGATTCTTAGGTCAACAATACAAATCAACGTAAGGGATTCTTAGGTCAACAGTATAAAATAACGTAAGGGATTCTTAGGTCAACAGTATAAAACAACGTAAGGGATTCTTAGGTCAACAGTACAAAACAACGTAAGAGATTCTTATGTCAAAAGCACAAAACAACGTAAGGGATTCTTACGTCAGCAAATTTCTGTTGGAGGCAAAAAGTTGAGCTCAAATACTGTTTGTTATCTCTTTTAGTAAACTGGTAAAGCTCGTTTTTAAATTAGTAATTATAAAAAGCACACTTTTCTGAAAATGTTCTTGAAAATATAATTGTGGATCGCGGGCATTAGGCAAATTCAATATAATGTAATATTTAATTACAAGGATAACTTCATCTTAACTTCCATTCAATTCATTTGTGCAGTACCAATTTCAGATACTTTTAAAAACTTATTTTCTCTTCTAATCTTCTATAGAATAAAAAAATATTAATAAAATGACATTACAATTTTTCTTAAATCTCCAACCAAAGCGAATACGGCACATGCTGCAAAATGTAAAAAAGAAATCATCATTGGACAAAATTTGCTATTTTCTGTTTGCAGTTTTTACATGTTGTATGTTAGTATTTCCAGAGCTGATTAGGTAAAAAAAAATTATTGCAACTCACTGCTAATTTTAAAATAATGGTAATATGCATATATAAATTAAGATTATCTAAAGATTACCCTGATCTACAGTATTTAAACCGTATAGAAAAAACACACTGCAATTAATTTCTTTTTGTTCGTCCGAGGTTTGTTGAATGCATAAGAATGTACAAAAAGTGTAGCTTTAACATATGTGTTATAATTATTCCTTTCTAAACAATTCTTGATGGCAAGAAAAATATAGATTTTTGTATTTTTAAATGGATCTATCGGATATTTTCATTCAAAAATAAAATAAATGCACATGTACAAGAATAAAAACCCAGTAATCAATGACAGTGTAGTCCGAAATACCTGACGTTTACCATGCTGTTAACGTCAAATATTTCTTTTTCGGGCTAGTGGGAGTAGTGGCAGGGCTGAAGTATACCTGATATCCTGTGTTGTTATGCTCCTCATTACAGATGTCAAACAAGACTGCTCCAGACTCAGGCAAATTATTAGACACAGAATCACCTTCTTCACTTTGTCTTCTTCTTTCTCGTCGAAGAGTACCTCGACACTGTCTGTCACTTACTTTTTGGTCATGTTCCATTATCATCCTCTGTAATTTGTTGATATAATCAATGGCTACTCGAAGGGTCCGGACTTTGGACAAGCGTTTTTGTTTGACTTCTCCTGTCACCCTTTTCCGTAATCTCTGAAAAGCCTCATTGACGGCTTCCACACGTCTGCGTTCTCTGGCATTACGTCGCGCCACAAGATGTGGCGGCTTCTCTCTATGCGGCACGTGCCGATACGTCGTTTTCCCGCCAGATTTTTTCCCGCGGTTTCTGTACTTCACAGTCATCCCTTTGCACACTGAGTTTGGGATGCTGTGGAGAGCAGCATGGTTGTGACCACCTGCTTGTACCACTTCTGAAGCAGGTGAAAACAGACAGGACGAAACTTTTCTCTCAGAAAACACGTCCATGGTTGCTTGGTCTGTCTTTGCATGTCTAAAAGAAACCAAGGTAGCTGCGAGGCGGACTTTCCGGAAATTAGTACGGGAATTGTAATGATATAATTTTCTCTTCAACAGTTTCTTCTCGATCTGTATATGTTAATAATTGATGAGATTGTCCTTAAAGGCTGTGATCAGTGGCCGAGCCTCGATCTGTCATCCTCCTAGCTATCCCAGCATCCCCCTGATAACGTCACAGGGATAATTGTAGGTGCTTCACGGAAGCTTTAGAAATAGTGAAAGACCCTTAAATCGACTCTAATTGTTTAATAATTAAAAAGATAAACCCCTAAAAATAACATTCTGCCTTGAAAATTACAACAACAACAAAACCGTAATATTATTCTATCTTATACTTTTACCATTTATATTGTTTTGAGAGAAGTAACATCAATATGTGACATCTCATTGTATCCTATTGGATCTACTCCCTAAAACTTTTTTTTTTTAAAAGTTGGTTGCCATAACACAAATATGACATGTTTATGTAAAGTGTATGAAAAAAAAAATCTGAAAAATGATTTGTTTATTTTCATCTCCCTTATGGACACCCTCAAAGTTACTGAAAACTGAAGGAATGCCCCCCCCCCCCCACCCACCCACCCCCTCCGAAATCATGTATTCTGTGCTTGGACCATTCTGAAATATTTCAGTGAAAATAAATCTAAATATGGATATCAATCCTTTGAAGTGTACCCTTCAATTACACAGTAAAATCTGGATGCAGAGAAGAAACGTTATACTTTATGATAAAGATCAGCTGAAGATGCGACCCCCAATTATCTGTAATTAATAAACTCGACAAGAAGTCATTAGTGACCGAGAGATCTTGTTAACATTGTAAAGACAGAGCATTCCTGGAGATCAGCAGTGCCCCGGAAATTATTCTATCAATATTTAATGACGTCGGCGATACTGAAGATTCTGTTTAGCAAAAGACTATCGTGCACCTGCTGATGATCTATGTTATCTTTATGTAAATCACTCTCAAATCTTTGAACTTTATTGAACTTTATTTAAAATTTTTTAGCTTTATTGAATATTAGTTCTTTAAAATACGTTTTCGGTAAGATGAAGCATCAAGAGAAAGTGTATTTTTGAAAAGTGCCATTTTTCTAAAATAAACATATAATTCGTGACACTAATATTTTAGATAAACTTTTTTCATTTGATATGACATTCATCAATCTTGTGAAAAGATCAGATTGGTGGACAATGTCTAAAATATTAAAAAGAGGTTTGGAAAAATCAGAAGGAGAGGATTTTAAAAATTGTAAATTCAGAAAGACAAATAACGTTCTGTTTGTTCGGTCCAATTCGGTGGCGCGCGAACGGGCGAATAGAGTGTGTCTTTTATAAAATCAAATAAAGGAGTTTGTTTATAGAAGCTAAACACGGGTGCTTATTTTCATATTTTTCTTTTATTTGTTTAATATAATGCAATTTCCAACTCTCATTTTCGGGTCAATATCTTCTGGAAATCTTTAAAAGAAATGTAAACTGATAAAGTGATAAACAACTTGTAAAGGGAAAAAACGAACAAGCAAGTACTTTGACCACAGATAAGGAAATATAAATCTACACTTTCAATATTTACTGTCATTAATACTCAAGTACTGTCTGTTAGAAAAGAATCGTAGTCCATTAGATTCACGGACGCGTTATCTTACAGGTGCCTGGGGCGCATTCCCTCGCCCTAGGAACGAATCCCGGTGGAACCTCGGCGTGCCATTTGTCGCGTGCTTGTGCGTGTCCTAGTCGTGCTAACGGCACGCGCTGATGGAAACATAATGGCTATCAAATATTTCTACAACGTCTTCTCCTGCGTTTAAACACGTTAATTCGTTTATGTGCATGACTGATGATAGATTCCTAAATATTTATTAAAACTGAGCAATGTTATTTCGACAAGTTGAAGTGGTGGAGGGTAGTACATCGGCGGGGTATCCCCTCCCGATCAACACGTAATCCTACATTACAAACAGAATATCCATCTAATGGGACAAATATTGAATTGTTATTAATCTGTTAGAAAAATGTCTTTAAAATAATATTATATTGATTTTGATTAAGAATTATCAATGCATTCGTATTTAATTTTGGTTTCAAATTCATTGCGTTATATTGCCATTCCACAAAATATTGAATTACATACAAAGTTTTTATTAGAATTCAACTTTATACAAAAGAATTAAATTATGGAGATTAAAGTGCAATGTGAACTTACTAGTAAATGGAACATTTTTTTAAATAGAAAAATGTTCGAAAAAATGATTACAAGTAAGGCGCATTTAGTTTGCTAGCTGCAGAACTGTTACATGTAGATACTGGTCAATGTCTAATTTACATGAAACCATAACGCTGTTGCGAGCGTTTCTCAAATGCCAAGTTTAACTCTTAAAGCCAGGGTCAAAATGCCAAAATTATTGGTATCCAAAGAAAGGTCTTATCACAAGGAATTCATATGCGAAAAATAAAAACCCTAGTGCCAACTATTCCAAAGTTTAGGCCAAGGTTATAGCGATAGTTCCTAAAAACAAATAGTGATCAAGATTTTTTGAGATAATGAAATTTCAGAAAGAAGCCAAAGATACTAATTCTTAAAAATATTAAACACATGAATAACAAGGTAGAAGCAACCCTCGGTTCAAGGACATGAGGTCGAATCCGAAAGGTCTCGTCGCATTTCATGCATTTGTGACTTGTGAAAAACCCTGTCTTTTCCGAAACAAACGTTAGCGCCAAAATTTTAAAAATTTGCGAGTTAAAGTTCTTGGTCACACTATCAAAAACTTGCTAAACTAACTACTTTTAGTACTTTGATACTTTGATCTAATATGAAACTTTACTCTAGAAATTTTGAAAGATTTAGAGTTTTTAATATTTCTTACATAAGTTAATTTTAAAAAACATGAAAATGTTCAAGAAATAGCATTCTTAATATCAGAAAATTATTTATGAAAATATGGAGATAAGGATCGAACAGTATTCAAGATAGACAAAATCCATAAAACAATACAAAATAGGCGCAGAGCAAACACTGACCCCCAAACATCAAAGGTGGGACCAGGTGTCATGTAGGAGTGAGCATCCCCTACCGAATAAAAAACAAGAGGCCCATAGGCACATGGGCTAGTTAAAAAACACAAATCAGCTCAGTATTGAAAAGTTTACTAGTTGGGGGAGGGGGCTTGAATTTTTTATTACTTAGAATGTCACTATATCAATAAAACATACAATTTGTTTGATTGCCCATTATGGCCCCACCTTATCCCCAAGGGTATATGAGCAAACTTGAACTAGAACTGTCCAAACGGGACAAAATACCCCCGCTGGTTTTTTCAGAAGTAAGTTTTTCCATAATAAAGATATGAATCAAACATGAATTATGAAATTTTTCTTCCAGTGACCTTGAGACCTTGGGTCAGAACACACCCTTGAGTTAAAAAAAAAATCCTATATATTTCTATGCAAAGATTTGATTGCCCATTATGGCCCCACCTTACCCCCAGGGGACATGATATGAGCAAACTTGAATTAACTCTAACTGAGGATGTTTCCATATTAATATCACTAATCATAGATTTGCTGATCTTGAGAAGAAGATTTTAAAAAAGATTTTTCCTATGTATTCCTATGTAAAACTTTGATCAGCCATTGTGGCTCGATCCTATCCTCGGGGGTCATGATTTAAACAAACTTGAATTTACACTACCTGCGGATGCTTCAACATTAGTGTCATTTTTTCTGGCCCAATAGTTTTGGAGAAAAATTTTTTTTGGAAGATTTTTCCTATGCACAACTTTGGTCAGCCATTGTGGCCCCACCCTACCCGGCCCCGGGGTCATGAATTGAACAAACTTGAATCTACACTACCTGAGGTTGTTTCCACTTGGGTTTCATCTTTCCTGGTCCAATTATTCTGGAGAAAATTTTAAATTAAAAATTCCTATATATTCCTATGTAAAACTTTTGATCAGCCATTGTGGCCCAACACTACCCCCGGGGTTCATGATTTGAACAAACTTGAATCTACACTACCTGAAGATGCTTCCAGGTGAGTTTCATCTTTGCTGGTCCAAAGGTTTTGGAGAAAAAGATTTTTAAAGACTTTTCTTTGATCAGCCATAGTGGCACTGCCCTACCCACGGGGTCATGATTTGAACAAACTTGAATCTACACTACCTGAGGATGCTTTCACATGAATCTTTCCTGGCCCATTCTGGAGTAGAAGATTTTTAAAGATTTTTTCCTATTCCCTATGAAAAACTTTGATCAGCCATTGTGGCCGCGCCCTTCCCTCGGCGTCATGATTTGAACAAACTTGAATCTACACTACCTGAGGATGCTTTCACATGAGTTTCATCTTTCCTGGCCCAGTGGTTCTTGAGAAGATTTTTTTTTTTTTAATGCCATTAATTTTTCATTAATTCATAATTATCTCCCCTTGAAAGAGGGCTTGATCGTTCACTTAAACAAACGTGAATCCCCTCACCCAAGCATACTTTGTGGCATGTTTGGTTGAAATTGGCCCAGTGATTCTTGAAGAGAAGATGAAAATGTGAAAAGTTTACGACGACAACAGCGACAGACAAAATGTGATCAGAAAAGCTCACTTGAGCCTTCGGCACAGGTGAGCTAGAAATACATGTACGAGGGCCATTTCATTAGTTCTGAGAACTGTTTAATAAATAAAAAAAAAACGTTTCGCGGAAATTAACAAATTTGGTACAAAGAATTTATGAATTTACGAACTTGACCTTTGGACCATTGATCTCAAAATTATTGGGAGTCTTCCTTAGCATGTTTAGGCCAGTGAAATTTTATACCAAAAATCTTATAGTCCATATGGTTTTAGCTGCAGGTATGATTTTTAGACCATTTCCGGTCTATTAATATATATTTTTTCGGAGAGCTACAGATCTGCAGCTAATATGGTTTTTGTTGTAAATTTCACCACAAAAGCTCAAGGATACGTTTTTTCATATCTTAGACTATTTCAAAGTATGGTGATGCTTGAAAGTTCGATTTTAATAGAAAATATCGTCTACCCTCCCCTTTATTTCAAGAGCTGAATTCGAAATTAATTTAAATTTAATTTACTATCTAGCGCTGGAATTAAAATGATTAATCAATTACCACTGAACTGTTCTTTGTATTAATCAAAGATTTTATGGCCAATTGGCATCAATATTGAATTAAATAGTTGCAAAATTAAATGTAGGTTGGAATCAAGAGTTAAGAGTTCGTAGTTCTTTTCATAGCAAAAGTACATGTACATATCGCGCGGAAAGGAAAGCGTTACCAGACAGACAGACGAACGGACAGACAGACCAAAGTCACACTTCTCGGATGGTTCGTACCCCGCAAGTTTGAATGGAGCGTAGCGGAGTCAGCCACTTTGTGAAAGCAAGAACAAAAAAAAAATAAATTGTTTTCCCTTTGATCTTCCATACAAAGATTATGTAAATTTTAAAACAGATTCAATTTTCGGCAGCTCCCTGCTACACATTCGCGCATGCGCATTGAGACTTTCGCTTTCACCTTGGATTGTGAAAAAGAAAACATTTCGCACGCAGAATTGTGTTGGATATTTTCTTTGTGGTAAGTTACTTTTTAATCGAATTTTAATTTTATGTCTTAAGTAGGTCATAAACATAATGGGTTAGCCTTTTTTGTTTTCCTTGCGCAAAATGCTTATGACAATGGATGTTATACAGTTATTTTAAGATGTTATTGTTAGACACTGTTAGTTAGTAATTTGAAGGAAAAAAATAGTTTAATAGCTATTAGCTATCGAAACAGTGATGAATACACATCATTCATATCTGTATTATGCTATTTTATGAAACTTATCAGGATCAGTACAATCAATACATTTAGCTCACTGTACTTACAACAGTACAAAGCTGACATTAGCTGTTTTTTTTTTTTTTACATATAGGCTAATTAATTGCAAGTATTCAATAATACTTTTTAAATAACCATAAAAAATAAAAAGAAACACAATGTTACTTATCCGGAAATGTTTGTGTAACGTTACCCCATATTTTACACATGTATTTTTGGGTTTGTACGTACTATGTGCAATAATTCTATTGGTGCACCACAGAAGTCATGCTGATAAGGGGGAGAAAATCTCTCAATTAAACTTTTACTTAAATGCAAATCTCATCTGTAGCACACTGGTCTTAAAAAGTTGGTATGGGTGACAGAGCTAGAGCACAAAAGCTTAAATGCTTGCTTTTGGAAATTCTCTGAATTCTTTTCTCAGTTGTACAAAATCTTGATTTACTTTCTGTCAACTTCTCACATATGTAATATATGCACAAAGCTGCAGCGTGTTGGTCTGTTGGACCAAATAATTTGCCTCTCAAAATGGCAGTGTAAATATAGGCAGAATTTTCGATGATCTCTATATCAGGCCCATGAAGATTTGTATACAATGGTTATAAGGCAATTTTTGTTGTGGAAATATATTAAAAGAATAAGTTCAGGAACACATGATTAGTAACATTTTGAGATGGCAGTTGAAAAACACAGAGAAATAAATCAATTTTTTTGCAAAATAAATATAATTTTTTTTCAACTGGTAGCACTGTAGCTCTCAGGTCTGTCAGTATATTTGTTTCAGAGAGCTACAGTTCTGCAGCTATTTTATCATCATGACTGCAACCTGAAGGTGTTAAAATGTTACTTAATTAGTTTTCTCCAAGAAATTTTTTTGTATGTAATACATGTAGTTACCCCATATACGGTAATACTTTAACCCTATCTCTGTAGATTTATCAAAAAAATTCTATCTTTCGATTGGTTGAAGTCTAGCTGTCATGTGAAGGGGGTGGATTACTTATACTCAGTCAATTGTAAATCAATACATGTTCAATGTGTTATGTAAGAAACACAACGTGATAGATAAACACAACGTGAAACACATCATTATAGGCACAGTATGAACATGATGAAGCATGTAGCAGAGAAAAACATAATTTATAAACTACAGATAATGTGTTTAAATGTTTCATTGGTGGGGGTAAATTAGTTACCTGGGTAAATAGTTCTTTAGTGACAGGGTACGGGATGATACCTCACCAGGTATGAAGTTTACTAACCAGGTATCATCCTGTACCCTGTCACTAAAAGACTTTGTAACTGATAGTTCCTCCTAAATTGTCATTAAAACATGTTTAATATGACCAATGCCATCAGGTATCTGCACATAATCATCACTATCACACGGGATAAGTCACATGTACATGTGCTAGACCTTTTGAGAGGTGTGACAACCCCACACTAATAGTCATATTGATATTGAAATAATCTGGTTAAAGACACTTCAAAAAATTTTCACTCATATTGATACATCACCGGGACCCCTCTTGGAAAACTGGGATTTATGTGAAATTGGTATGAAAAGTCATAGGCATGAAATTGGTATGAAAAGTCATATAGGCATGAAGCTTTTAAAGTCAACAACTACCCACCCCACCCATAAAATAGGTTTTTATACGCCCGTCTTAAGACGGGCCATATTATGTTATAGGCTTCATGTCCATCCGTCTGTCCGTCTGCCCGTCTGTCTGTTAGCTTTTTCGTTTCCAGCTCATAACTTTAATACTACTAGGCCTAGGATTATCAAACTTTGTCATCTGATGCATCTTGGGTAGAAGGTGTGTCGCGCACAAAAAGTAGGTCGCTCTGAAGAAGTTACAGCCAAATATGGAAAAATCCTTTCCGGCCCATAACTAGAAAACCATAAGACCTACAATCATCAAACTTGGCCAGTTTATGCATCTTAGGTAAAAGGTGTGTCGCGACCTATTTCAAGGTCACTGTGACCTTTAATTTAAGTGAATTTTTTTTTTTAAAATGTGTCTTTTTTACTATTCATTTACACATCCCAAATAATGTAAGAGTATTGCACTGTTCTTATTAACAAAGTGTTAAATCAAGAAAATACTTATTTTTTTAAGCATATACTTGACAGCAATCTAAAACAAATATAATGTATGTTAGAGAATCCCATGTCTCCCATGAGTGTAATTATCAAGCACTGGTCAAGAAGAATTTTGATAACAGAAAATTGCATGTCAAATTAGAGAGAAATTAATTAAGAAATAAGATGTCATTTTTAGAGTTTCATTGGGATGTGACATGAAGTCGGTCTTGTGATCAAATTCTATAACGCCCGAAGGGCATTATAGTAAATTTGATCACGTACCGACTTCATGTCACATCCCAATGAAACTCTAAATAATGATATTTTATTTCTTATATTTATATTTTATTTTTATTTGTATAACAAGGAAAAATAGGCGTTATTTGGATATTGTTATAGAAATGCAACATATAACATAACTACGGCGTCATATGACGTCACAGTCAAGACTTTCCAATAGTCTCGTGCGGTTTGCCCAACTGCATGTCATTGAAAATTGAACATCAATTTAATTTATATTGTCATATAAGGAAAGACATTAGCAAATGTAAATATTGGGTTTTGAGTGCGAGGAGCTAACTGACAGAGCATTGGTGTTATCTATATCCCTTGAGAATTGGGCAAATGGGTAAGCCTGTTTGATTAAATTCAATTCTTTTATTCCTTGTATCAGCAGATACATCAGATTAACATAGTAGTTACATACAATATACTTAATTGCCATGTAAACATATATTACAATGTATTTACACAAGCATTAATAAATGTACATATCTATACATACATATTTATGTACTACATGTATCATAATAGTGAATCAATATTACTCATTATTATAATAAATTTATTTTACTTTCTCGTAAATTACAAGCTTCTCTTAAAAAATTCCCCAGACCTCTTAATTCCCTTACATTTTGAACACTTAGTAACTGTATTAATTTATATACACTACTATTTTGATAATAATATTTTTTAATATATTTCTTTCTTAAATTTTCATATGTTGGACATTGTAAAATTAGATGAAATTCATCCTCTATTTCATTTAGAGTACACAATATGCATTTTCTGTCATTTCTATTGGTATTTGTGTATCTACCCCTTTCAATATATAAGTTGTGATCAGACATCCTAAACTTTGAAATTATTTCTCGATTTTTAGCACTTAAAGGTTTATTGAGGTAATATTGAAGGCAATGTGTATCTGTAAGATATTTGTACAAATTAGCTTTTGGCATATTGTCGATTTCTGATCTTAATTCTTGGATGTAAATATCTTTCATTCTCTGTTCAATAAGTTTAATAACATATTTATCATCATAATTTGTATTCATCAAGGAATTTAGTCCTAATCTATCCAGTTCTGTTTTAATATTTACAATCCATTCATCATTTTCCTGTACCATTTCTTCATAACATGTCTTAAGGATACAATTTTCTGTTTTTCTTAACTTTAACCAATATTTCATAATTTTTATTGTCCTTAAAATGTGACATGGAAATCTACCAAGTTCATGATAAACAAGCTTGTTACTAGCATTCTTTTTTAACCCTAAGATTTTTTTACAGAACATGATATGGATCGACTTTTTCGATATCAATTCCTTTGTTGAAACCCCATACTTCCGACGCATACAAAAGTATACTATTGACATAGGTGTCAAAAACAGAGCATTTTGTTTGGACATTAAAGTAGTAGTCATTTAGTTTACTTTGAATACTAAAAAGAGCTTTTCTTCCTTGCTCTGCAAGCTTCTGTTGTGCTTTAGTAAATTTACCATTGTAATTTAATAATAACCCGAGATAATTAAACTCATTTACTATTTCTAATTCTTTTTTGTCGTAAAACCACTTTTCATTTTCTTTTATTTTTCCTCCATTTCTAAAAACCATTATTTTAGTTTTATCTGCATTTACAGTTAGATTCCATTTCTTGCAATAGTTATGCAAAGAGTCAAGTATTTGTTGTAACGCTTCGGGTGTTTCTGCTAATATAACAGTATCATCAGCATACATAATAAGGAACATGTTAATTAAATTAATTTCAATTGATGGGCAATTCTCGTTTAACAAATGCATTTCAAAATCGTTTACATAAAAAGAGTACAAAATTGGGGATAAAATTTCACCCTGAAATAGTCCAACTTGGCTTCCAAAATATTCGGAAAGGACACCACCATACTTTACACAACATTTGATATTTTCATAGAGTGATTTAATTATCTTTAACAATTTACCCCGTATTCCAAGCTTACATAACTTAATCCATAATTTGCCCCTATTAACAAAATCGAACGCTTTTTTATAATCTATGAAACAGCAGTATAATCTCCTACCCTTTTTGCGGAGAAATTTATTTATTAATGACTGTAATACAAAAATTGCATCAACAGTACCATAGCCATGTCTAAAGCCAAACTGGGCGTCTGATATAATAGATATTTCTTCATCCCATTTCAGTAGTCTTTGATTAAGAATAGAAGTGAATAGCTTACCCATACAACTAACTAATGAAATACCCCTATAATTGTTTGCATCATTAACTCCGCCTTTTTTATATACAGGTACAATTATAGCCCTAGACCATGATTGTGGGAAAAAACCAGAACTAAAAATAGCATTGAACATTTTATGCAAAACCGGTATTAAAGTCTCAATACAATCTATAAATAGTTCATTTAGTATGAAATCTTCACTGCAGCTCTTACTTTTTTTTAAATTTTGTATACTATGTCTAATTTCCTCGACTGATATTTCTTGGTCTAATTCATCAAATATAGGTTCACTATCATCACTATCTGTGTTATATTGACCTTCCTCTGCCTTTGTGTCTTGGGTTAGATTCTTAAAATGGTTATAAAAGTTTTCTTATCCTATTTCGGTTGCCGGACATTTTCTTTTCCTTTTAGAAAAATATTTGTAAAATTTTCTTGGATTGGTTTTTCTAAGTGACTGTATCATGTCTCCTTCTTGACGTTTATAAGCTACTTTAAGTTTTCTTTCAAGTGTTTTATAAATTGATTTTGCCTGCAATAATTTCTTTCTATTGTCCGTTGATCTATTTAAGTTAAAAATATGCAAAGCGTTTTTATAGTCCTTATATTTTTCTTTACACTCGTCATTAAACCAAGGTTTATCATCTCCTCTAGATTTGTGATTATATTGTGAACTTTCACTTGTAAATTGCCCCCGTTTTGTTTCACATTTTGGTAATACAATGTCATTTATGATATTACATAGATTAACAACACAATTGTCTACATCTTGCTGGTCTTTTAAATGACAGCTTACTAATTCAATTAATGTGTCTGCATTATTAACTAGATCAACATTTATATTATATTTTTCATCCTCGTTCCATCTTATATTTTTCCACTCTACTCTATAGTGTTCTGTTGATTTGTTATCATACGGATATGTAATTTCATTATCGCAATTGATTTTAAAAAATAGAGGGGAATGGTCAGATAAAGTATTAAATGTTCCAGAAGAAAATTCTAAGATATACTGTATATTTTCCTGTCGACAAATAAGGTAATCAATTAAACTGACTCCATTTGCACCATAAAAAGTTATATTACCCTTAGCATCTCCAGAATGTCTACCATTTACAATTCGAAAACCTGTGGATTTACATAGATTCAAAAACTTTCTACCGTGCTGGTTTACATAACTATCCTGACTTTTCCTGTTAATATTACATGTATCAGAAGTATAAGATATCAAATGTTGTATTGCATCAGACACATTCTCAGAGAGATTATCATTTACAATATAGTCTTCATTTAAACCACACCTAGCATTTAAATCACCTGATAAAAAGATGCATCCAAGAGATGTATATTTGCTAATTAGATCATATAAACACTGAAATAAATCGACATCTTCTTTTTGATAAAAAACACTGCCATCAGGTGGTATGTAACAGAAAAATAAAAAGATTAAAAAATAGCTCTTGTTGACTAGCTTAAGTTTTGAAATGAATTTGATGAAAAGCAATTAAATGTAATTTGATATTGCATAATAGACTAATCTGATATTATGTAATATTATTAATTTAAAAACTAATTTTATGGGGTGGGGTTGAATCAGCATGTCCATATGAATTACATATTAAAACCTGTCGGACATAGAATCTCAACCAAAAAAAAAATCTGAGTATTTTATATGTTTTTAAAAAAAAATTATAGTAGATAGTGCAGACCCATTCATCTCTTGGTAGTAATGAGTAGACAAGCATCCAGTTAAAGATTAATTAATGAGTTCAATGTAGGAAGGCTAGCTGTCTCAGTCGCTCTGATTAAGCAGCCCTTTGGGGATTAGACAGAAGAACTGCTGGTCAGTTTATAACATGTGTCATTTGATGGCCAGCCTTTTCTTTTCAAAATTAATTTGGTATAGATTTAGTTGTTAAGACTAATTTGATGATGGGCATTTGACACGGTCTAACACAACCAGCACAGAAATCTATCAGTGATTTAATATTTATTATACTTGATGCCTACATCACAGGGGATGGATAAATATTTTAAGGAATGGAAAAATCATAGAAATCTTAGAATCAAGGTTGATGTGATTTTCTTGCACCTAAACTGTTCAAGAAAATTGTAATTTTTTGATGGGCGTATCATGCTGTGGCGCAGCACTTTATTCACATCTGGAAAAAAGATTTATTTTTTTGTTTTTGACTTGGGTGGACACCCCCTGGGAAAAAATCCCCGCCTGTATTTTAAAAATAAATTTCTTTGTTGCAGATGTGTTGAGGGCTGAAGTTTTGTTCCCTTTCCTTGTGGCAGATTGCTTCATAAGGGATGTTTCCAGACAGTAAAATATCCTTCAAGTTCTCCTGTGTGTCATCAAGCGATCAATGTGTAACAAGTTGTCTCCCTGTAATATATCTATTGAGCTGGAGTCAAGGTAATTGCCCTGCCAGTTGAGGTTTATTTTCACTTTTATCATAATTAGGAATTTTATTTTAATATTAGAAAATAGAAGGTGCACAATGGCAATATGTAATAAGATTCTGTGCAAGTCTCGTAAAATTTCAATCATTGGTATGAGAGGAGTTGCGGATAAGAGATGGGTACCCCAAAGCATAACAGACAGACGGGCGAATGTACAGACAGACGGACGGACATACTAATCATTACTATATACCTTCCCAATTTTCAAGTGGGGGGTATAATAATGATAATGCTCTACTAATTAAGGGCTATCATACTTATATTTTTGTTTTAATATTTGTTTTTTTTTTAAATTGTATATGGTACTAATAACAATATCCCTTTTTATTTAGCTTGAACTGAAAAGAGATATTTAAGGACTTCATGGAATTCAGCGACATCGAGCCATTGAAGATCCTGAAGCTTTCAAGTACAAGATGATTAAGCTTAGAAAAGTGTGTTGTCTTCTTCACCATTGACCTGTCTTGCAGAGTGACTTCAGTTCCCATGATTTGTTGAGAAACCAGGACAGGTGAAGTGATGTACATACTATATTAATGACAACAACCATGTACATGTATATGTACATCAGCTTCCCAAGTTTCATTCTTCATCCACTTAACCAGTTTAACACTATTTTCTACGTAAAATTTTGAACGTCTGAATGTTTTATATGATTATTGTACATACAAATGTACATTTAAATTAAATTTAAAAAAAATGCCTATTGGAGAAATTGATATTTAAACATTTTTGTCTTTTATCAGGGTGATGAAGATAATATTGGGTACTTGAGGGAGATGTTGACTTTGTTGAGGAATTTCCATGAGAAGTTTGTTAAAGCAATGATCATATAGTCTACCAAGGATCTCACAGCTGTGCCATTCAAAGACAGCAACTCCCAGCTGAATGACAACATCATTGTCATGATGTAATGACAAGAGCCATGTAGGTTGTCACCGTGGACCATGAGGATGAAATTCAACCATCATCACTACAGAGGTTTGTACATGTATTGCACTCCCATGCTAACTTGAGATTTCCATAAATGAAAAAATCATTTTAGGCCTATTTATTATTTATTTGACATTTTCATTTCTTTTATGTTGATAAATGACTTCTAAAAATATTTTTAGGGCATTAAGAAAAATCTACTATGCAGGACATCAAAGGTGCTGGCCAAATTTCTTTTCAAGGATATGGTGGTATTCAACCTTGGCTTCCCAAATCCAGCAAATGGAGGAGATCTACATGTACCACCAACTGCCCTAACTGTGCTAGCACAGAGATTCACTTCCCTAGTGCCCCAGGATCAATGGGAATAAATGAAAGAGGAATTCATGGACTACCAAACAACTCCTGCTGTGGACCTCCCAAGTTTTGTGGAAAACACAAAAACAGATGTCTACTGCATGGGATAGAATTCTGGACAAAAGAAATAAAATTTCCAGTGATTATTAGGGCTGGGACTATATATATCGAGATATCTGTGAGGACGATAGGCATATCGATACATGTGAAGAAATATCGAAATATTGTCCCAAAAAATCTGACTTCCATTTTTAAATGTTTATTTAACATTTGGGGTTTAATGTATAAAATAATTAAGCTAAATATAAATATAGATTTGAAATAAATAATAATTAAATCACTTACAATTGAGTAAAATAGTTTTGTGAAATAATTTGATAATTTCAGTGCAAAAAAAAGATTTTTTATAAGCAATTAAACATATCATGATACATATTGTATTGTGGCTCAAATATCGTGATATGTATGGATATAGAAAAAGTTGTATCATCCCAGCCCTAGTGATGATTGATTGTATATTGTTTAACATCCCTTTCAAGAATGTTTCACTCATACAACAGATGCCACCACTTGCCGGCAGCAAGCTGCTAATTTTGTCCTATACTCGACATTCAGGGCCATTGGGGGAACGGTCTTGACATCCCACAGGGGGATTTGAACCTGTGACATAAGTATGGCACGCCAAATTCACAAAAATGAGCAAAACATAGTTTCACAGTTGATAAACTAGGTTTATCGCTTGTAAACTATAGTTTACGGACTGTAAACTATAGTTAATAACCTTAATCTATATTTTACATCTGTAAACCATAGTTAACACGATAATATATGTTTCACGACTGTAAACTTATCACCGAAAACAATCATTTGCGATCGCAAAACATAGATTATCTGATAAATACAGTTTCATGATTGTAAACTATGGTTTACAACTCTTAACTATAGTTAACGATCATAAATTATAGTTTACAGACGTGAATCTATGTTTAACAACAAAATATATTGTTAAAGTTTTATTACAGACAAATAAACTTAGATTAGCATTCCTAAACTATAGTTAACAACCATTAAATATAGTTTTACAGATGTAAACTATAGTTAACGAATTGTAAACTATAGTTCATGGTTTGTAAACTATAGTTTACAGTTCATAAACCTAGTTTATCAATTGTGAAACAATGTTTAGCCCATTTTTGTGAATTTGGCATGCCATACAAGGATCAACTTTGTACTTTGTGACTGTAGAGCAGTTTCCAGTGATGGTAAAATAGTCAAAGCCATGCTTTAATGTTGTGCCAAATTCCAATGCTGGATGTGAATGAGTCTTCTCTATGGTGAAGAAAATGCAGATAGAGACCCCTGCTAATTTGGACAATAAAACAATCAGTGCCCTACTCTTGTTAAACCATCATATAACTTTGACTGTTTGTGACTTGACTGTTGACTGCAATTATATGTCCTCTGTTTTGCATATTCTTAACTGAATTTTAATGGTACACATTGGCAGATCTAGAGAGGAGGGACTGGACCCTCCTTATTTTTCCAGAGAGAGGGAGAGGATGTTTTTTTGTTACGTTTAATATGTTAAAATAAATAAAGTATCTCAATCTCTGCCTTTTCTGCTCACTAGAAAGAGTATTGTGTATTGCTTTGTTTATAGATACCAGTTATACCTTCACTACCTTGATACCGGGCCCCACCACCAACACAAGGTCGCTTGAAACTTATAAGGATGTCACGAAGGATTTTTATTTATAAGATATTGAAAGAAAAATGATTTACTTAATTACCAGACTAGTAAAATGCAAACTTTTAACATGGAAGATTCTGGAAGAAAACTGTGGCCATAATATTTTTGGACAATCTTCTCAAGTAACTTACGTACAGGAATATGCAAAAAAAAGGTTATGATAAGGAGTATGCTAAAAAGTTTCTCTGTGTAGTATGAGAAGAATTTAGTCAATGAATTCAAAGGTGTAAAACACCCCCATAATACGTGGACGGGGGGGGGGGGTCACTATTTCTGAGAGCAATCTTTTGCTGAGTGTACTTTTAATATGCAAATTTTGTTAATAGGACGCGGCACCCCTACCCCAGCTTTTTGTTGCTGGAGGGTCAAAATTTGCAAATTCCAGCAATAAAAAGTGTACTGAAAATTTCACCCACCCCCTTTACAACAAAATTGGATATTAAGGGTGCTCACTTTAATTTTGCTTATTTGTCAGCTTTATTCAGGGCCTTTAAAGTAGTTGCTATGGTGCTAAAGCGCATGTGGTGTGATTCTATAAAGCAGGGGAGGGGGGTACGGAGGGCACAAACTTGGAAGACCCTTTCAAAAATTACTGGATTCGCCTCTGGTTCATGTATTATATATGTCACCTATCAATTTGTGATGATGTTCTTTCAGTTTTATAACATGTTGTTTGCTTGAATTTCAATAGTGATACGTACATAATCAAAGTACTGTAGCTTTATAAATTTAAACAATGCAACAATGCCGTTTTGTTTTCATGTACAGTATGCTACTGTCTTTTTATTTATTTATTTTTTTTATTAAATTGAAGAAAGTATACATTTGTTTGACCTATTTATTAAGTTGCGCGTTAGACGTGGTAGAATGCTTTGACTTAAATTAGAAGAAAAAATGTTCAAACGAAGAATATGTATTATGTATGATAAAGAATGATTAAGAAATCAATGGAAAAGACAATAAGATTCAGTTTGGACATAAGTAATTAAAAATCCATGTCGTATACCACCCAAAATCACCCAGTTTGGATTTTCACCAGCTTAACAATGGGGGGGGGGTCTATATTGCAATACAATAGACTACAAGTTTACAATCTGTTTTGGCATTGAAGTTCTTTAATTATTATTTTAAAGTGTGAAAACTTCACAATGTCAAGGTTTTGTGATACCGGTATCATATCTCTACACGCAGAAGCATCACAGAACCTTGACATGCACCGTGTAGATAGGGTTCTGAAGATTTTTTTACCTGTTTACTCTGCGATATCAAGCAAAAAGGGTGGGGTTGGGATGGGAGTGGGGGATGAGGGGTTGTTGCTGTACTTTGTCAGATATGCACAAACAATATACCCCCCCCCCCCCTTTTAATCAGACTAGGTATTTTAACCAATTAAACAAAAAGGCTTGTATTTCAAGCACGTTTACATCTTTGTTATTTTACCTTTCTTCATTGAATAATGCATAAAAAATATAATATCTTTAAACATTCACGTAATTAGCGATTGCAATACTTATATATATGCGTACGACTTATATGCGTACGAGCGGTTATTCGTACTTTCACTTTGAGTATGACGTGACGTCATAATTACTGTCACATGGTGTGCAGGGAGCTGCCTTTAGACTCGTTCGAATTTAAAACTACTAGGGTTCCATACTTGCCCGAAAAGTGTTAAAAACTAAATTGTACATTTTAGCAGAGACATAAAACCAGTAGATTTTAATGATAATATAATTTGTGTAAAATAACCAAAATGTATTGGAAATCTTGATAAAAGACCCCCCGCCTAACCAAAATCAACGTATGAGTTGTTTAAAACTATTTACTCCTGAACACCTTACTTCCGGTTTTTCGGACAAAGGAGAACTTTTCATTAAATGAATGCTTTTTAGCTATGATTGACATTTAATTTGAGCTTCAACGTAAAAGTTGTGTAAGTATATACTTGTATGTATTGTAATTCTTTCGTGATTTGATGTAAGATGACAGTATTTGCACATTTCGAGCATCCCCCCACCTTGATTCGAAAGCGTGGAAAACGCGGTTTAAATTGTTTAAAGCCGCCATTGCTACCACAATCTACGCATTAAAATATTTTTTAGGTAGAAAGTTGGTTAAAACTTACTAAAATTACATTAAAGATGTAAAAAGTGGTGTGTATTTTGCTCACCCCCCTTCTCGATGGTAACCCCCCCCCCCCCATTTTAATATTGGCTGAACTCATCTTGCCAGTGTCGGTGAACCCAGGAATGTTGTTAGTAAATAAAGAATTTCTGTGAATTTATAGCGATTATTTTAAATCTGCAACATTTTTCTAAGGGAGTATTCTTTTTTTTTTACAAAAATAAAACAAACCAGAGAAGAAGTCATGTTATGAGACAAATTAATAAATTCCTGAAAAAAATGACAGGGGAATAAACACAAAAACACATAGAAGGGAGAAAACTATCTTTTTGTTGATGAGGAGGGAAGGGTCATGGGGGTTTGATTCTTGTAAGTTTTAAAAAATCTTTGATAAATCAAGAGAAAATTTGACTCTACTATAAAATAGGGGGGGGGGGGGATATAGCTTTTCAATGAAATATATTCTTAACAAAAATTATTCTCTGGAAAAAAAAGTAGAGACCCCTTCTCCCACTTTGTTTATAAAAAGAGCTTACCAAAGCTCAATAAAGAATATGTTTACCACTGCCTTTCCTCTGAAAATGTAAATGATCGAATGAGCACAATTCTAAAGGGGGGGGGGGACTCCCTGTAAATCAGATTAGATACCTTGTGTTATTATATCATACTAAATGGGTTAAAATTTATTTCCGAAACAAGTGCAGTTGAGGTTCTGTGGGCAAAAATTTAACATTAATTCAGAAACCTGTGATACTCACTGGCTGTCAAGACCTTTTGTTACTATTTAATAATAATCATTTGGTAAGTCATCCAGATTTTTTTTAAAGTAAATAAGTCATGTCTATTCTATTTTGTAGGATTATTTGAGCGAAAAAATGGCAGAGAATCCAGGGGCGAGTGAAATAATCTATATACAGCTCTCCAGCCCAGGAGAATCATTTCCTCAAGACATCAACAATGTGGTTATGTCTTCATCAAATATTGGGAACATTGCTATACCTATTGGAACCGTGTCTCCAGAAACTGAGGACATCACAGACCAGATTACCGGGGATGTCACAGGTGAAGAAAGTCCAGTCCCCTTACAAAATGATGGCCAGGAATCCACGACACAGGCCCCCGGGCAGGGGTTATCAATCACAGAAACAAACAACAATGCTCTCTTCACGGGAGGCGACCTAGGTGCAGTAGACCTGCCTGTTGCAGTTGCGACTAATGTGGACCAACTGCCACAAGAGACTCCCCAGGTAGCCGAGCCCACGGTAACAGAAGAGGTAACGCAAGGTGTGATTGGTATAACACATGCTGATGGTCTTCTTAGTGTAGATATTCCTTTATCAGAAGTCATGGCTGATCCGTCTACGACTCAAACAACTGTAGTTAAGACTGAAGCCATTGCTGAACCATCTACCACACAAATGGTCGTAGTTAACACAGCAGAAGAAACGCACCCAACAAATACAGACATTCATGAAATGAGTATCGCACCCATTGTGACAAATGCTGAAGTCACTCCATCAAATCCTCAACCGAAGATAATCTTAAAGACAACACAGGTGTCACCAAGCCATGCATCACCTGAGAAAAACGTCACCATCCCTTCAGGGATAAGGATACAGACGTACCTTGATGATCAGGTGGCGTATAAGATAACAACCAGTGATGTAACAGAGGCCATTTCTGCCGTAAGAACCACTTCCTCCAAGGTAAACACAACAAAACCATTCAAACCAACAACAGCAACAAGTAAACCCACTCACCAACTGGTTGTGACCTCCATGGGTCTCGTGAGAAAGGCCCTCATTCCAGACTCTCCCCCGGCCGATTCTGTAGCTACAGCTCCTAAGATAGTGTCGCCGGTCAAAGTCACCAAGAAAACAAATTCCGTTCCAACCATATCAGAGAGCACAATACAGACGTTCACAGTGACAGAGACACATCCCACCACCGTACCACTGATTCCAGAAAACGAGATGATCCCAAGTTCTCAGATAGAACATCTCCAGGGGGAATCTAACAAGGGAGCGAAGGAGTCTGATAAACAACAGGAGAGTACGGAAAACATGGAGGTAGGCAGCTACACCACCATAGAACCACTGAAAAAAGTGAAGGAGGAACCCAAGACTGTGGACGAGATAGCTTCTCCAACAAGAAAGAGTTATAGGGCACCGAAGAGGAAGGTTGTTACAGACTATGAAGAGATCGGCGGAGCTCAGGAAGATGAGCCAGCACCTGTAAAGAAAAAAGCCAAGACGGTGACAGTCACGGCACCGGCTAAAAAACCCGCCAAAGGAAAGCGGGGTCGTAAGCCGAGCGCTAAGGCCGGGAAACTGACGGTGGAGGAGGTGTACAAGAGTGGAGACGACGCAGAGGAAGACGAAGAGAATGACTTCCTGAAAGTTTGTATGATTAAATGTGACTTATGTGACAAACACTTCCTGGACAAGAAGAAGTTAGCTCTTCATAAAAGACAGGCACATAAGAATAAGCGGGCCCCCCGAGGTTCGGGCAAGGAACATATTTGTGAAGTTTGTGGTTACGTGTTTAAAAGACGCGAACACTGGCGTCGACACAAAGAAGTTCATCAGAGGTCAAGACCCCATACTTGTGAGGTGTGTAACAAGACATTCAAACGTGCTGAGCACGTTAAGCGACATCAAAGTGTTCACTTAACAACTAAACCTTTTCCCTGTTTGGAGTGCGAAAGCGCCTTTACCAGGCCAGATCATCTTACAAAGCATATGTTACTTCACAGTGATCCAAAAGGTTACAGACAGAGGCAGCAGGCAAAGAAGAAGAAAGGAAAGGCAGGAAGGGGGAGACCCAAGGGAAAGGGCAATAAAATGATTAAGACCATGCCTAGAGGTCGTGGAAAGGTCACAGTTCAGCTAAGAGCTACCGTCAAGTCCAAGAATGAGGAGGATTTTGAGTATGGAGATTTTGAGGAAGAGTTTCAGGATTTAGAGACTGATGAAGGAGATCTTCTGTCAACTGACGAGGAGGAGGCTGGGTATAACGAAGCTAAAGATAGCGGGCCATTGGAGAAGGTTTACTGAAAAGGAGCCAATCAAATGTCGACAAAAAACCAAACATGCGTTTAACCTAGGAAAGGTTTACTGAAAAAGGAGCTAATCAATTATCAGGAAAACAATATTCACATTCAACTTAATGTTATAAATTACAAGTATCCTAGTGAGGACTCATTTAAAATGTTATCATTTAGTGAAGCTACTGTATGTCATAATCATGTTGAAAATGAAGAGAAAGAGATCTGAATACAAATATTATACAATGATGAAGTAATTAGTAAATTTAGTAGGACCTTGAAACATTGCATTCAAAGAATTAGGAATCAAGTTTATTTTTATGATTTTATCTAATACAAGTTCTAATGTTTTGCATCATGTCAAAAAGAAATCTGATTTCAAAGTTGAAGTACAAGTAGTACATCTGGAAAGTTGTTTATTTTTTAATATGAAAACATTTTTAAAAGTTTTTTTCACCATAACTTTTTCTGACCAATAAAAAAAAAAATCATGGATCTCATTTTTATGTTGAATTATGTAAAATGATATGAAATGTGTTAACAGACAAGAAAATGTGTAAATATAAAACTTGCTGTCTTTTTATGTTAGGTTAAAACATTAACTATGAAGAATAAAACTCGTTTAAAAGAGTGTTGTTGGGTTGTAACTGTTCATCAGATTTAGATCAAGGATTTTCTATATCTTTGTTGCATTCCTTCATTACATGTATGGGTGCTATAAACTTGTACATTTATTCATGGACCCTCAGTGAATTTATGGACACCTGTGTATTTCAGTTTGATTTCAAAATCAATGCCTCCAGCATTTGTTTGAAAGTTCCTCAGACTACATGTATTACTGAGCATTGATTCAACTGCATCTACATGCATGTCATTGGATGACACTCATTTTTCTTGGATTCTAAGTTTTAAATATTTGAATAATACTGTAAACAACTATCATTTGTGACTTCTGTGACTAAGAAAATTGCAACACACATGCATATATTAAAGTAAAATGTGTAATTTGCAATGAGAAATATTCACAAAACAAGAGGCCCATGGGCCACATCGCTCACCTGAGAAACTTTGACCATTCTGTTCTTTACCAGATTTCCCCCCTTGTTATACATAATGCATCCGGACCCTATCCCACTGATCATAATTTAGACATTTTGAAATCTACACTACCCCATGATCCTTCCATGGGCACATATGTTTCAGCTTTTTTGGCCCAGTGGTTCCTGAGAAGATTTTCAAAGATTTTTCCTATATATTTCTATGTAAAACTTTGATTCCCTATAATGGCCCCGCCCTTCCCTGGGGGTCATGATTCCTACAATTTAGAATTTACACTACCCCAGAATGCTTCCACATAAGCTTCACTTTTCCTGGCCCAGTGGTTCCTGAGAAGAAAATTTTCAAATATTATCTATATATTTCTATATAAAACTTTGATTCCCCATTGTGGCCCCGCCCTTCCCCCGGGGGTCATTATTTGAACAATTTAGAATCTACATTATACCAGGATGCTTCCACATAGGTTTCAGAACCGCTGGGCCAGAAAAGCTAATTTTCTGACCAAGTGGTTCTTGAGAAGAAGATTTTCAAAGATTTTTCCTATATATTTCTATGTAAAACTTTGATACCCCATTGTCGCCCCGCCCTTTCCCCGGGGGTCATGATTTGAACAATTTAGAATCTACACTATACCAGGATGCTTCCACATAAGTTTCAGCTTTTCTGGCCCAGTGGTTCTTGAGAAGAAGATTTTCAAAGATTTTTCCTATATATTTCTATGTAAAACTTTGATTCCCCATTGTGGCCCCGCCCTTCCCCGGGGGGTCATGATTTGAACAATTTAGAATCTACACTACCCCAGGATGCTTCCACATAAGTTTCAGCTTTACTGGCCCAGTGGTTCTTGAGAAGAAGATTTTTTAATGACCCAACCCTATTTTTGTCTTTTCTTGAAATATCTCCCCTTGCGAAGGGATATGTCCCTTCATTTTAACAACTTAAATTCCCCTTCACCCAAGGATGCTTTGTACCAAGTTTGGTCAAAATTGGCCCAGTGGTTCTTGAGAAGAAGTCGAAAATGTGAAAAGTTTACAGACGGACAGACAGACGGACGGACGACGGACAAAATGTGATCAGAAAAGCTCACTTGAGCCTTCGGCTCTGGTGAGCTTAAAAGGTTCAAAGCTTGTTGCTATTTCTGGCACACAAAGAAAAGCTGGTTTACCATACTTTTGGCTTGACTCGCTCAGTAAAATTCTATGTATATACTGATACAAAAAATAAGACACTTAGAATCCAAGCAAAATGAAATTAACAAAGAAATAATACATTTCATATTAAAGTTGTGACATTTTTATTATTTGATAAACAACTATTAAAAATGTTCTTTTGAGTTAAGTACATTCATCTATTCAATCAGAAATAGGTAACAAGTACACTGTACATGTATTTGGTTAACACCATGAAATTATCAGTTGTTACATCCATCCTTTGATAATTGTGTTGGTAAATGTTCAACACTGATTATTGGATCCACCACCTTCATTTAGTAAACATTCAGCACTAATTTATCCTCCTTGGATCCACTCCTTGTTTTAGTGAATGTTCAGCACTAATTCATGCATCCACTCCTTGTTTTGGTAAATGTACTCTTGGATCCACTTCTTGATTTACCACTCTAGAATCCATCCCTCTATTTACTCAGCAACCACCCCATGTGAGGCGAGCCACATGATCTGTTTTCCTCTTGGTTGGTTTCACAAATCCTAGAAACTGAAGTTCAGACACGGCCCTGATAAACCGGGCTCTGGGAACAGGTTAAGGAGGAAAACTAAAATGTGAGGCATGGATGAATTCAGTATAGGGCATCTGCACAATAACAGCAGGAGCGGAATGTTACTGTTAAAAGTGTTATACTTAGCAGCTTTGCAAATAATTTTGAAATATTATAATTAATTCACTCATTTTATAAGACACCGTGAGTAGAAATGTTTATACAAGACATTTATGATGAAAATGTTTTTCCTTTGTATAAATTTATAGTTGATATAAAAAATGTTTTCCATGTTTATTTAACTGTAGAGTGAAGGATACTGTAGTTCCTTGTCTGGGTTCTTGATCTTTTCTTCATTTAATTCTTCATCGGACATCACCACAGTAGCGAAAGCCTAACAAAACAATTATACTGTATCAACCCATTTATAGTACAAAGTTATTCCCCTTTTTCTGATAGCAATAAACATAACAAACTTGAAATATCTAAGTACATTGTACTAAAAAATTAAGATGCCTTTCAAGTCGCTTTCATATGGTTATTACCTGTAGCCAGTCATATAAGTTAATTAGCTGGGCACACTCTAGGTGAAGTTTGTAGGCAATACAGATATCAGGCATGGACGGAGTTATGGAACCTGACTCAGAACTGCAGCATTTACACTGGGAGAAAAAAAGATGTTAAGTATTAGCTAGTCATTGACAAGTGAACTGCTCCTAGACAAAAGAAGGACTAAGTAAAATACAGTATGCAAGAGATATGCATCATGTGTCCTGTTGCAAAACAATCACAACAAGAGATGTTTGTAAAACACTAATGCCCCCCTCCCCCCATATTGGAATTTTTCCAAGTACAAAAGAGCATGAATCTGTCAAAAATGGCACTATTGTACCCAAAACAGAACTTGAACTAGACATTCATATGATAAATCTGTATACTAAATTTCATTTCAGTATGTGCAACGGTTGCGAAGAAAATGAACTGAAACTGCAAATAGTTGGAATTTTTCTCTAAGTCTAAGGGGCATAACTCTGTCAAAAATGGGCCGATTTTACCCAAATTGGAATTTTTCCAAGTACAAAAGAGCATAACTCTGTCAAAAATGGCACTATTGTACCAAAAACAGAACTTGAACTAGACATTCATATGACAAATCTGTATACTAAATTTCATTTCAGTATGTGCAACGGTTGCCAAGAAAATGAACTGAAACTGCAAATAATTGGAATTTTTCTAAGTCTTAGGGGCATAACTCTGTCAAAAATGGGCCGATTTTACCCAAAACAGATCCTTACCTAGATATTTATATGATGAATCTGTATACTAAATTTCATTTCAGTATGTGCAACGGTTGCAAAGAAAATGAACAAAAACTGCAAATGATATGAATTTTTCTAAGTCCAAGGGGCATAACTCTGTCAAAAATAATGAGATCTTACCCATAATATAACTTGACTTAGATTTTGATGTTATATATCTGTATATAAAATTTCATTTCAGTATGTGCAACGTTTGCGAAGAAAATGAACGGAAACCACAAATGATTGGAACTTTTCTAAGTCCAAGGGGCATAACTCTGTCAAAAATGGTGTGATTATACCCAAAACAGAACTTGACCTAGATATTCATGAAGTATACCTGTATACCAAATTTCATTTCAGTATGTGCTAAGTTGTGAAGAAAATTAACTAAGTGGACCGACAGACCCACCGACAGACAGCAGCAAAGCAATATGCCTTCCCTTCCTTGAAGGGGGGCATAATTAATTCAAATTGGGTCTTTACAAAAAGCTCAGAATTTTTTTTTTAACAAAATAGTTGCTTCCTTATTTATCACATCATTGATAATTCACAGAGTTGAGAATCCCTTATGTGGTATATTTAAGAAAATGTTCAAACATTCAATGAAGTCAAAAGATAGAATCTCAGACAGGAGGTCTCCATAAATTTATGACCATGTTCCCCTTCATGTGATGGTATTTTCTGGACACCAGTATTGCTATTAAATGAACAGAACAAACCTGTAGATAATGATGCGGGGAACTGAGCGCCATCTGGACGACAGATCTAGGAGAGGCGTTACAGTGTCGCTTAATCTCCACCCACGCATCGTAGTAAAATATCTCGTACAGGGGCAGGGAGGAGGGGCATATCAAGTACCTCCTGTAAAGACATAAAGGCAGGTTAAAATTTATACTGTTCTGTACTAGGGCTAGAAAGATGACATACACATGGTTTTGTAATATCCTCAGACTTTACCTGAATAACTCATCAAAGAAATCTATAGCTTCAGATCTCAATTTTTCGTATGGAGATAGTTTCTTTTTCTTCTTTCCTTCCTCTTGTAATCTCTGAAATAAGGCAATTTATAGCATATCAAAACAAGCATTATATGGTTTCATTTTTAGAGACACAAAATTCAATAGATTAACATAGCTTTCTCTCCACTCTCTCATGAATAAACTGTTACCTGTCCTAAATAGACTTATTATACATGTTCATTAGCATATCATTGATTGCATGCATCAATTTCTAAAAGTCTTGTTTTGCAAAAAAAATATATGCATGTTATACCCTGAATTAACTTGAATCTGTATTATAACTACTAATAATATCAAAGAAAGCATGTTTTTGACATTGCTAACCTTTCTTAGAGTGTGAAGGTCGGTTTTCTCCAGATGAAGAGCTTCCTCAGTGCTGCCCTCTGGTGTCTCCTCTTCTGTTACCTCTGTCAGATCAACAATATAATACTGAGAGGCACACTGATATAATACTGTAAACCAATTATTATTCACAACATCCTTTATTCATGATTTCAGTTTGGAATCCACTCTTTTCTAAAAATGTTTGCGACCGAGACAACAGTCCACATAAATACATGGCGGTAAATATTCGTGAGTTAAAGAATGTTGCATTACTCATTGATATTTCTTGCTTGCGAAGAAAAGTTGGTTTACAGTAAATAATTACCCAAATTATTTCTGAGAGGTGCACTGAAACAGGTATAAAATAACTAGAACAATCTTAGCGAAAAAAGATAAATTTCTCATTTACAAGTATGGTATAATCCCTATTAACCGCCCCTGCCCATATAAGCGCCCTCTTAGGTCTTTTTCAATTTTCAGGAAATAAGGGCCCCAGTACAGTGATTAAGGGTCCTCCACACCATGTGACTTGTGACGTATGTAGAGAAAAAATACTTTTACTTCCGGCTCAATCGAGTTTCTTTAAGAACGATTTAACCTAACACCGTTTGTAAACAATGAACACATGGCATGATCACGGAGTGACCGATGGAAAAGGATGTGCGGGTTTTTTTTGTTAAATAAAAGAACAACAGACGTCTTGGATTATGTTACATAATAATTCGTAAACAACAGGTACTGGTGGATATGACAAAAAACGTTTAGGTTATTTATCCTTTTAGGCTAATCAACCGAGTCTGTTTTGATAGTTGAAATTTCGGCACACTAATTTGTGCGTTTCAATAATACATTATCTCATTGTTGTTTATAAATACTTAATAAAATAGTGTCTGTTTCTAGTTTTCCTCTGTTATATTTGTCCAGTTCAGTGGCCAGTTATTACTAAATATAGTATGGTGACGTATGCGGAGACTTGCCAAAGTTTTTGAGTCCCGGGCAACAGGAAAGATAACTCCAAAAAGGAACTTTGATACCAAAGATTTTGAAAATGTTTTTTCTACATCAGTGCATTTAATTTTAATTCAATTTCTTGATGTAATCTAATTCATTAATGTTTCTTCTCCACAAAAGGAGTCCTTATTGATTTTTCTCGAAATGTATTTCAGAGAAAATGAGTTTTGTGTACTTTTTATAAATAAAATAAATTTCTGTAAAAAATATGTTGATAGATAAAAATAAAATTTTATGGTTATTCTGTTAGCTTAAAAATATACGAAAGGATAAGACAAAGTTTGTTGTGCTAAGTATGAAAATGCTCTGGGAAAAATTTTTTATAACTTGTGAAATAATTATTTTAAAAAATCAGTATAAATTACATTTTAATCCCTGGACAGTTTTTGAAGGTTGATATACTTGTTAAAAGTAATATTCAATAATATGAGAGCATAACCTGTGGGTGTGTGGAGGACCCTTAAAATCAACAAGAATTTTATCCAAAAATTGAAGAAAGTGAAAATGAAATGGGTCTTTTATCTAATTTCTTAGTGGAAAGAGAATAATTTAGATGGATTATCTTGACTTTAAGTAAAGTTAGACATTATTTAAGTGGTTCTTTGTATTTATTTTTTTTTTCAAAAGATTTCTTGAAGTTAAAATTTGACATTAAATATAATAAAGAGAATACCAAAATAACGGCCCCCTTTTTGCAATTTTCTAAGCGCCCAGGGCGGTCAATAGGGATTATATGGTATTCTTTTATTCCTGTTCTAAATTTCACTTCTTATTTTAACTATTCTTTATCACAGACTACCGTGTAATATCTTACCATCAATCTTGACAAACTTCTCCAGGAGGATGTCCAGATCTGTGGGGAGCTGAGCGAGGTCAGGGGGCAGGGTCCCCTCCAGGGAGGATCGACACTGCTGTATCAGGTCCACCAGCTCATCCTTAGAGGTCATTCTGTTGTAATGAGACAGAATCTGTTATACATGTATATCATACAGATAAAGGGGCTGTAAAATGTGTGTGTGAAGGATGGGATGGAGAGGGTGGTATGTGTACCAGGGTGGATCGACATAAGGTCCCACAACTCGTCCTTAGACATCATCCTAAACCAATGACAGAGAATCTATCAAATCAATCTTAGACGTCATCCTAAACCAATGACAGAGAATCTATCATATCAATCTTAGAGGTCATCCTAAACCAACGACCGAGAATCTATCATATCAATCTTAGAGGTCATCCTAAACCAATGACAGAGAATCTATCAAATCAATCTTAGAGGTCATCCTAAACCAACGACCGAGAATCTATCAAATCAATCTTAGAGGTCATCCTAAACCAACGACCGAGAATCTATCAAATCAATCTTAGAGGTCATCCTAAACCAACGACCGAGAATCTATCAAATCAATCTTAGAGGTCATCCTAAACCAATGACCTAGAATCTATCAAATCAATCTTAGACGTCATCCTAAACCAACGACAGAGAATCTATCAAATCAATCTTAGACGTCATCCTAAACCAACGACCGAGAATCTATCAAATCAATCTTAGAGGTCATCCTAAACCAACGAGAGAGAATCTATCATATCAATCTTAGAGGTCATCCTAAACCAACGACAGAGAATCTATATAAATCAATCTTAGAGGTCATCCTAAACCAACGACCGAGAATCTATCAAATCAATCTTAGACGTCATCCTTAACCAACGACAGAGAATCTATCAAATCAATCTTAGAGGTCATCCTAAACCAACGACAGAGAATCTATCAAATCAATCTTAGAGGTCATCCTAAACCAACGACAGAGAATCTATCAAATCAATCTTAGAGGTCATCCTAAACCAACGACCGAGAATCTATCAAATCAATCTTAGAGGTCATCCTAAACCAACGACCGAGAATCTATCAAATCAATCTTAGAGGTCATCCTAAACCAACGACCGAGAATCTATCAAATCAATCTTAGAGGTCAACCTAAACCAACGACCGAGAATCTATCAAATCAATCTTAGAGGTCATCCTAAACCAACGACCGAGAATCTATCAAATCAATCTTAGAGGTCATCCTAAACCAACGACAGAGAATCTATCAAATCAATCTTAGAGGTCATCCTAAACCAACGACCGAGAATCTATCAAATCAATCTTAGAGGTCATCCTAAACCAACGACAGAGAATCTATCAAATCAATCTTAGAGGTCATCCTAAACCAACGACCGAGAATCTATCAAATCAATCTTAGAGGTCCACCTAAACCAACGACAGAGAATCTATCAAATCAATCTTAGACGTCATCCTAAACCAACGACAGAGAATCTATCAAATCAATCTTAGACGTCATCCTAAACCAACGACAGAGAATCTATCACATCAATCTTAGACGTCATCCTAAACCAACGACAGAGAATCTATCAAATCAATCTTAGACGTCATCCTAAACCAACGACAGAGAATCTATCAAATCAATCTTAGACGTCATCCTTAACCAACGACAGAGAATCTATCAAATCAATCGTAGAGGTCATCCTAAACCAACGACAGAGAATCTATCAAATCAATCTTAGACGTCATCCTAAACCAACGACAGAGAATCTATCAAATCAATCGTAGAGGTCATCCTAAACCAACGACAGAGAATCTATTAAATCAATCTTAGACGTCATCCTAAACCAACGACCGAGAATCTATCAAATCAATCTTAGAGGTCATCCTAAACCAACGACAGAGAATCTATCAAATCAATCTTAGAGGTCATCCTAAACCAACGACAGAGAATCTATCAAATCAATCTTAGACGTCATCCTAAACCAACGACAGAGAATCTATCAAATCAATCTTAGACGTCATCCTAAACCAACGACAGAGAATCTATCATATCAATCTTAGAGGTCATCCTAAACCAACGACAGAGAATCTATCAAATCAATCTTAGAGGTCATCCTAAACCAACGACCGAGAATCTATCATATCAATCTTAGAGGTCATCCTAAACCAACGACAGAGAATCTATCAAATCAATCTTAGAGGTCATCCTAAACCAACGACCGAGAATCTATCAAATCAATCTTAGAGGTCATCCTAAACCAACGACCGAGAATCTATCAAATCAATCTTAGAGGTCATCCTAAACCAACGACCGAGAATCTATCAAATCAATCTTAGAGGTCAACCTAAACCAACGACAGAGAATCTATCAAATCAATCTTAGAGGTCATCCTAAACCAACGACCGAGAATCTATCAAATCAATCTTAGAGGTCATCCTAAACCAACGACAGAGAATCTATCAAATCAATCTTAGAGGTCATCCTAAACCAACGACCGAGAATCTATCAAATCAATCTTAGAGGTCATCCTAAGCCAACGACAGAGAATCTATCAAATCAATCTTAGAGGTCATCCTAAACCAACGACCGAGAATCTATCAAATCAATCTTAGAGGTCCACCTAAACCAACGACAGAGAATCTATCAAATCAATCTTAGAGGTCATCCTAAACCAACGACAGAGAATCTATCAAATCAATCTTAGAGGTCATCCTAAACCAACGACAGAGAATCTATCACATCAATCTTAGACGTCATCCTAAACCAACGACAGAGAATCTATCAAATCAATCTTAGACGTCATCCTAAACCAACGACAGAGAATCTATCACATCAATCTTAGACGTCATCCTAAACCAACGACAGAGAATCTATCAAATCAATCTTAGAGGTCATCCTAAACCAACGACAGAGAATCTATCAAATCAATCTTAGACGTCATCCTAAACCAACGACAGAGAATCTATCAAATCAATCTTAGAGGTCATCCTAAACCAACGACAGAGAATCTATCAAATCAATCTTAGACGTCATCCTAAACCAACGACAGAGAATCTATCAAATCAATCTTAGACGTCATCCTAAACCAACGACAGAGAATCTATCAAATCAATCGTAGAGGTCATCCTAAACCAACGACAGAGAATCTATTAAATCAATCTTAGACGTCATCCTAAACCAACGACCGAGAATCTATCAAATCAATCTTAGAGGTCATCCTAAACCAACGACAGAGAATCTATCAAATCAATCTTAGAGGTCATCCTAAACCAACGACAGAGAATCTATCAAATCAATCTTAGAGGTCATCCTAAACCAACGACAGAGAATCTATCAAATCAATCTTAGACGTCATCCTAAACCAACGACAGAGAATCTATCAAATCAATCTTAGACGTCATCCTAAATCAATCTTAGACGTCATCCTAAACCAAGGAGAGAGAATCTTAAAATGTGGATGTAGATAAAAGGGGTTAAAATGTGCGTTTGATGAAATGTGGATGAGAGTGGTTATAAAGTGCAAGTGTGGTGGGTGGTAAGGGTGGGCTGGAATATGGGGGTAACAGAGACTTACGATACTTTACCAGCATTAATTGAGTGACTGAGTCACTTACCTGAGTAGTTCTAAGCACTCCTTGTAATCCTCGGAATCACAGATAAAAGACTTCAGCACCCTGGAGTACACCTCACGAATCTACAACAGCAATACATTAATACCGTGAATACCATCAATGGTTCAACTTTTATGTGATTGTTCATGTAAAGTGCATTTGGTTACTAACATCAAATGTAGGTACTGCTTATGCCTCAGTTCTCTTTTTAGACAGAGCTACAAATGCCATTAAAGTACATGTACATTTATATTGAAAAAATATATCACCATGCATAATTGTACTGTTCCCCTCTGACCTAAGTGATCAGTAAAATACCTGTTTCCCCAGTGGGTGTTTGGGGATTCTGGACACCATGATGTGGAGACATTTCAGGACTTGATACAGCAGGGAGTGGTAGGTATGGATTCTCTTCAGCAAAACCACAAATTCTGACTGCAATCAAATAAGGACATCACCAAAATCAAAAATTGAGTCTGCAACTAATAGAAGACATTAGCAACTCACAGACATTTGCAAAACCAAAAATTATGGTTACTTTAAGTAAAAATTTTCTGCAATAGTCATTTTTTTTTTTATAGATTTCTGCAGTTTTGCAATACGCCAAAATAAAAATTACAAAGTTATCTAAAACTATCTAATTTTTCAAGTATTGCAAATTGAATGAAGTTTCCCATTTACAAATGCAGAAATTGGTTTATAAAGAGTCATGGGTCATATCACAAATACTTCATATTGGAAAAAACATTTGATGGTTCATATTCGGGAAATGCTACATAAAATCTGTAATGGATGTAACATTTTGCCCCCCCTCCCACCCCCACCCCCCCAACCTGCCAAAGAGAATATATAGAAGTTATCACCCATTGTGTAGTATGTGACTTCAATATACTTGGAACACATCACAATTACAACAGATTTGATGCATAAATTGCTCTCCTTTATTTACATGTTTAAATTAATATGAACTTCTTTTCTATAGTTATAGTTCTTTACTCTACTAACCTTAGTGACTTTGTCATTTAACAGCATGTCTTCTTGTTTTGACGGCGGACATCCCTCAACAAATCTAAATAAAAATCCAACAAAATCTGCATAATCTAAATTCTACATATGAAAAGATTTTTAGAATAAAGGCTTCATCTAAGTGTTCTTTTGAATTAAGTTTGTTTAAAGGATGATTAGGAACATTTCCTGATTATCAAATAAAAGAAACTGTAGTCAAGTCAAGCTTACACCATTGATAGAATGAACCTGTTTTGAAAACTAGTTCTTTAAATCTTCATTTTTGTGCTGATCTTGGATAAACAGCATCTTAGTTACACAAATGTAAGTTTAACAATTCTTGAGTTCTGAGTGTCTGCTAAACAATGGTTGACATAAAATTAAGGAGACTGTACCCTCTGAATGACATGAGTCGCCTGACTTGCTCGACTTGTTTTGGTTTCAGACTCATCACTCGTTCCTCTAGTTCCTCCAGAGGACAACAAAGATGGCTGACAGGGACCGTGAAGAAGTGATCCTGCATTGCAAACTGGAACAAGACAAAGATTTATTAAATGAAATCAAAACTTCACTATTATTCTAATAGTTCATGATTTAGTATAAAACAATGTCAAAGAAACATGTACCAGGGTAAAGTAAATCAAAAAAAAAAATTGTTCAATATATCTCTTGAGAATTAATTCTATTTCACTATGACAAAATTTTTTTTGGGTTGAAAACTATATTTTTGCAGAAAAATTTTGTATACTCAATGACAATTCAAAGTTTTTTGTATTTCAATACATTTAAATGACCTGATGCAAAGACATCCCAAAATAAAGGACATACCTGCAGTCCCTTGATGAAGTTGAGTACAGAGAAGTCATGGTACAAAAAGATGTCCAACAACAGCTGAAAGACTTTAGATCCCAGCTTGAATGGGTACACCGAGGTCATCAGGATCTAAAATGTCAGTAAAGTTTTACCACTGTATTTTTTTATTTTTCTCACATAAAAATGCATAAGTACTGAAGTATTTTGAGGAATATGACCAGCACATCACAACTGGTTGCTAATCACATATCAGACTGCAAACAATTTGAAAAGAAAAAATTTTGAGATTCTCGAAAAAATTTGTATAGATTACCTAACTAACTACTTGCATGTGATATAGGTCTTAGATAAGTAACCAGATAATAACCACAGTTTGATATTCTTTAGGTAATCTTCCCTGGTTGATGACCATGTTAGGCATTCTGTGACCTGAATTCTCTCCCCTGGTAGATATCTTTATTAAGGTGTTCTGTGACCTGAATTATCTCACCTGGTTGATGACCATATTAAGATACTCTGTGGAGGGGGGTGCCTGAAACTTTTCCATACACAACATTGATGACACAGCATTGGGTAAGAGTCGATGTACAGCTGATACTGATGTGGCAATACCAAACACAAATACAAGAGGGAGCTCACATATGTAGTTCCTATCAAATACAAAATAAACAGAACAAAAAATAATTTTAAGTTTTATTGACTGTAATTCCAGTACAAATACATGAAATAATTGGCTGTACCTTAAAAAAATGTTATACCTTGCAATGAAATAGCTGTTTGTCTTGTTTTTTGGAAAGATTAATTTTAATTATTTCATTTTTTAAAATTGAACATTCAATTTATGGGAACAACTGTAAAAATTTGTTAAACAATTACTACTTACACTGTGAATTACCAACACTTCCTTACCTACATATAGAGATAAAGTCCTGTAAAACATGAGGTAGAAAACACTCCAGGTCCTCAAACAGAATAACAATAGGTGGAAACTGCCCCAAATCTCTGGATCCCCCACTGACAGACTTTCTCTTCTTTGGACTAGAGTTACTACACTGAATAAGTAAAAAATAAATACTTGAAACTAAAGTCTTATTTTGGACTACATATTTAAAACATACAAGAAGGTTTTCTTGAAAATAAAAGCAGAGCTTAAAGAGCCTAAAACATCTTCTTTGCTTCACTGACATTAACAAGTTCAAGGTTCCTTACTGAGTATTTGTCTTGATACCAAGATACAAGGGTCGCCATGGAACATGTCATATTCTTTTTGTTATGGGAGATATCATCCTCTTCATCTGAAAACTAATGAAAAAGAAGTTTGCTTATACATGTACATGTATATTCTTTTTTTGATGTGTCAAATACACAGTATAAGAAAAATAACTTATGGTGTTAAATTTTAAATATATTTACACTCTTCATAGCATTCCCATTCAAGAAGAAGTGAACAATTATAAGTTAAGGTCAAGATCTAGTAAATAACTTGAGACTAATTTTTGGTGCTAGATCCATAATGACGTCATAATCAACTTCAACTTTCTTTTTCCCGTACTTTATGGCTTTAGCAGAATTATGTAGAAAATGAGATATTTTCATGCCATTCAATTTGAAATCATATGAAAAGTAAACCGGATACCTATATTAAATTTGATATTGATTTAAAGAAGAGGCCATGAACATGCTAATTACCATTTTCTGAGAGACTGTAGGCAATCTGGATACATTTCCTATGCCGAATATGAAAAAAACTCCCATATTCATGACTGGTTTTCTTAATTTTTCATTGAAAATGACAGTTTAAAATACAATTTTTCATCTTGTTTACCTACAAATTATGCCCCGAAACACCTTATTTGACCAAGCTAAAATTGTAAAGCATCAATAAAGGAATTTATTTCTCAAGTTTGATAAATTTGTAGGCACCTTTCATTTACTAGATCTTGACCTTAAAAAGGACTGAATAAAATCTACATACACAGTATAATGCATATGTACATGTATTTACATGCACTCAAACCTCTGTGTTTAATTATTAGTGGAGAAAAATGAGTGAAAATATACATCTTATCATTTCATTGAAACAACAATGAATAATTTTGCAAGTAACTTAGAATGCAGTGTTCAGACATTAAGGGGAGACAGGACACATGTCACATGACTAAAAAGACGTATCACGTCATAATTGGTGATGATATGCATATTAAACGTTGTTAAAATCAACTGTTTTTGTGTAATTTTATTCTAAATTCGAAAATTGATTTTTAAACATTTAATTTTAGAAATTATTATTAATAAAAATTTTTAAAGATCTTGCCATCATTTAGATATTGTGAAGTTGCTCAATCCACACATTTGTTTCTCTTTACCTAGCAGTTTGATGTCAGTGACGTCATAGACGTACATGTAGTGTTTGAATTCTCAGTGCAGCAAGATCAAGTACACACACCCGTCATGATCATTTTTATTTCATAATAATCAGGTCACAGTCAATGTATCGTGGTAAATTTCTGAAGCAGTTTTTTTTTAATTAATACTTTTTTGTGTTTAGTAGCAGAGATTCAATCTATTTAAATAATTTTGAATGTTTATATTTTCTTGTGACGTCACAATTGATTTCCCGCACTCGGAAAATACAAACGTGAAGCATTTTTATCATGCTTACGTCTAATTCAACTATGTCCTGTGCGATATTGAGGTTAGCTTCACCCTGTGATATTTATGCAGTAAATAATTACGATGAAGGACTGATATTCAATCGTAAATTTAGAAATATTTATTGACAGAATTTTTTCAAAATGAGGTTTTTGTCTTTGAAGCTGCCTTGAAAAATGCAAAAATTATCCCACCCAAATACCATATAATATTAAAACAATTCCTTTCAGGTAATTTAAACACTATAAATATTATGAAATATTTGAGTATATAGTGTTATCTATCATATTTATCGTTTGTGCGTAAAAATTCGCATTATGGACTCCGTTATGGGGCCCGTAAACATTAAGTATCTAAACTCCATACAAACTTAAAACAGGGCGGTATTTGTGGGGCGATATCTTTTAAATAAGTCAAGAAATCCAATGATAGGACCATTTTAAAATGTTAAGTACATATTAAATTAGTAACAAGAAAAATACGAAAAAAATTCATTGACAGGAATTTTTTCAGCGAAAGGTCCTGTTCCTCCTTAAGACCACAAAGAAAATACAATGGAAACATAATTAGCAAGAGACAACCATACAAATACAAAGTATACGTTTATATGTGTAACTGCATTTGTGTGTGTATTTCTTACCAACAGTGGATTTTGGAACAGTTGAGTCAAGGTTTTACTTAGAGTGTTTTTAACAGAGTTACAGTCCTTAGATTTGAGGATGGCCACCAGAGGGCTGACATTTTCTTGTAATGAGGCTACTAAGTTTGCAAACATCACCCCATGGTCTGGTGTGTTAACCCCTGTGAAAGAAAAGTAAAAAGTTTACAACATAAACCTGTTTTATATGTCAAGAAAGTGCACTGCCCAGGCACATAATACACCCATAAAATATTTGTTAATAGACAGACAGTCAGACAGACGTGATCGCTATATTAAGATGGGCAAATAAAAAAAAAATATTTTTTTTCACATACTGTTCATAAGATAAATATAAATAAGTCAAATCCTCCAAACTTCCTTACATAATATTGAATACGTCTGACTAATTTATGACAAAAATATTTAGATTACCAGTTACAAAGGCTGCAGTTGGAATCTCCTTTGATGTGCTGTCCACTTTTGCTCCTCCCAATATAAAAGATTCATGTGAAGATTTGGCAAACTTCATCAAATCATCAAATATCTTAGAATTCAAATCGGACCTTAAAATCTGAAAGTAAAACATGCATTTGTAAAACACACTGCCTTTTATGGTGACAAAATTCACTTTCCTTCTCCTTTAAAGTCTATCTCCAGGTGCAGGAACAAAAGAACCAAAATCATTTCAATTACGACAGCTGCAAGTTACAAACAAAGATAATCTTCAATAAGTAATATGACAAAAAAGTTAATCACATAAAAACTAAATTTGCATATTTTTTTTGTAGATTATCTTGACAATCAAAATAAAGAGGCTCATGGGCCACATTGCTTACCTTAGCACTTTGGCTACTAATTCAGTATTTAACCTTCACCTAAGGGAAAAGGGGTGGGGGCATGATTTTAAGAAACTTGAATCTACACTAACTGAGGATGTTTCCACATTTCTTTGACAAATCATGGTTTTAGAAAATTTTTAAAGATATTTTTCCTATATGTTTTATTTTCTATTGTGGCAACATCCTACCTATATGTATATATATCAATGTAATCTTTGATCATCTATTGTGGCCCCTACCTACCCCTGGGGGATCATGATTTGAACAAATTTAAAACTACTACCTGAAGATGCTTATATATAAATAGACCAATCATGGCCCTACTTTTCTTGAGAAGAAGATTTCTAAAGAATTTTCCTATGTCTTCTTAATCAGGTCGAGACCACTACCTTATATGGAAGGCAATTTTCTACACGTGACGATGTCTTCGCCACGCCTGTTCTCCAATCAAGTGAAAGATTCCCAAAGCATAACAGTCTACCACGTGTTTACGATTCAATGGCTACACGTGGTTTTCGTCGGTTTACTGCACAAAATTTAACTCGTCACAGGAAAAACTGTAGAGCTTCTTTATAACTTTATTAGACCGAAATTGAAAGATTATATTCTGAAGACACTGCTCCATGCTCACATTTAATATTGGAGTTGTTTTAGATGATTAACAGTTGCTTTGAATATCGTACAAACGCTTTGACTTTTGCATATACATAAAACACTTTCTGATAATATTGAGGGGTTAAATAATAATTGCACACTTTCTCCTGCTGTCTAAAAACAAGGACCTATATACTACCTGCGAAAGCTATGACACGTATATCACGTGAAAAAAACTCAATGTTTTATCGACACGATAGCTCTTATACGTCTCTTTGAACAATGGTATACTAGGCTGATGTATTATAAGTTGATATAAGGCTTCATAAAGCAAATTTTGTAAATGTGAGCATAAAAATGAAAGATTATACATCATTTTAAATATTTCTTTCAAAAATTTCAAAAAAGAATTGAAAATTAGTTTCCAAGGGACAATTCAAGTTGCCTTTAATTTTCAACACAGCTAGGTACTTGTAGTAGCCCACAATGCATTGCGGCTCATTCAGCAGTAGGTAAAGTAAACATATTAGCTAATTTACATGCAAATTTATTCTGACGTCAGAAAATCTAGTGGTCTCGACCTGTTAATATGTTTAACTTTGATTGTCCATTGTGATCCTGCCCTACCCCCGAGGGTTATGATTTTGTGACAGAGATTGTGTTCAGAATGTCCTGGCGCACTACTTCATCAGGACTTAATTGTAGTCACTAGTGTGCTATGATAAGGGCCAAGGGTAGTCCATGAATTCAAGGGTAAATGTAAGAGCATTCTTTAGCATTCTTTAGAATTCTTTAGCATTCTTTAGAAAGATGGCAGCTGTTGCTAATCGGAGCTCATTAGAAAAGTAGATGTGAAGTGTAAAGGGCTTTATTGTACAGTATCTAGTATACAGTGAATGTATAATTTGAGGGATAACTAGAACTGTCCAGTAGGGAAAATACCCCCCGCTGGGTTTTTCAGAGAAGGTGCCAATTCAAAAATACTTTATGGATCTAGAGGTGTTCACAATTTACTTACAAAATTTGCAGTGAAATATAATTGCATGCTCATCATGTTTCTTAATGAATGAAACAAAGGTGCAACCAAATGAAACATCAATACCGTAAATCTGGAAATTTTTGCTGTAGATAAATTTTTAGCAAATTTGCGAGTTCATTGCATTCGCAAAAATATTTTTCTTAAAAATAAATCACCAGTAAGAAACTTTAAACAAAGCAGTGGTCATTCGCAAAGTTTTGAAACGTTAAAATTTATCAACAGCATTTTGACCCGAATTCGCAAAATAAAATCGACGTAAAAATTTCCAGATTTACGGTACTAATACATTGTAATTCCATTGTAACATTATTTTTTTATTTTATCTTTTTATTTCTGCATTAAAAAAATATATTGCAATTATGTGTTATGTCACTCTGCAAACTGATTGTTGAAAAAACTCATATTATACAAAATCAAAGTAATCTTGATAACTTTATATCAAATCCATTTCGAAAATAAAGAGCTGGTCATCCAGTAATGAAGTGCTTTGACAGACAATAAATTACAATTAAGAGAATAAGAGAAGAGAGATCTTTAATTCTTGTGCCAGATTCCCAGGAGATAACATATGGTTCATAATGAGATGCCTTAATGTTCAACTTCCCACACCAAACTCATTAATTTATCTTTAACTGGATGCATGTCCAGTCATTATTCCCAAGAGACAAATGAAATTACATTATCTTCTGTGCAATGTAAAAACTGTTTTTAACACTTGATGATGTTTCTTTTTTTTTTCATTTTTTATGAGTAGTTTTAAGCTGTAGTTAACGTTTTTGTACAGATATTCTAGATTCTATGTCTCAAACCTTATACATGAGCCCAAAATGAACAAGTCAATTAAAATAAAAAATAAAACATGTAAAATGCAGAAAAATGAACAAAAAGAGTTGAAAATTCCAGGTGCACACCTTCATATGGTGAATAATAAGTGTACAAATTTTCAGATTAATCCTTGCAATAGTTTTTGAGAAACGGTCCGGACAAAACCACAAAATAAAACTGAAAAAACACCTGTAAAATTCAAAATGATAAACGAATCAAGATGAAAATTTCAGGTGCACAACTTCATATGGTGAATAATATGTGTACAAATTTTCAGACAAATCCTTCCAATAGTTTCTGAGTAATGGTCCAGACAAAATCTTGTCTACAGACAGACGGACAGACAGACGGACATGGTGATTCCAATATACCCCCCCTAAACTTCGTTTGCGGGGGGTATAATAAAGATATAATTTAACTTTTCCACAGATTTTATTGAGATCTGTCTGTGTATAGGACAGAAGCATCTGAGACCTGTACAGTACTGAAACATCCAGAACACAGATCTGTCACAGTACAGGACTCATCCCAGCTTTGTGACCCGTACCTGTCCTAATACTGAAACATCCAGAACACAGATCTGTCACAGTACAGGACCCATCCCAGCTTTGTGACTCATACCTGTCCTGATACTGACACATCCAGGACACAGATCTGTCACAGTACAGGACCCATCCCAGCTTTGTGCCCTGTACCTGTCCTTATACTGATACATTCAGAACACAGATCTGTCACAGTACAGGACCCATCCCAGCTTTGTGACCCATACCTGTCCTTAAACTGAAACATCCAGAACACAGATCTGTCACAGTACAGGACTCATCCCAGCTTTGTGACTCGTACCTGTCCTAATACTGAAACATCCAGAACACAGATCTGTCACAGTACAGGACCCATCCCAGCTTTGTGACTCGTACCTGTCCTTAAACTGATACATCTATAACACAGATCTGATACAGTACAGGACCCATCCCAGCTTTGTGACTCATACCTGTCCTGATACTGACACATCCAGGACACAGATCTGTCATAGTACAGGACACATCCCAGTTTTGAGACCTGTACCTGTCCCGATACTGATACATCTGGGACACAGATCTGTCAACGCATATTTCTTGTTACAAGCTACCTTCATGTTAGGTATGTAATTTCTTGGTTACCAAGTTTTGCAAAGAGAGGATTTTCACTTCTCCAATTTTTGTCAAAGAAGTTTTTGTTCAATGGATTCTTTCTAGGTCATTTTTTTTTAAATCTTCAATAAACTAATCTGAAAAGACTAGGTCACAAGTACAAATAGTACATAGCAATTCTACAAATTTTCTGAAAATATATTAACTGGTCCAAATAACAAGAGGCCCATGGGCCACATCGCTCACCTGAGTAACTTGGGTGATGCAGATCTTTTTTAAAGATCCGTTCTATATATATATTTCTATGTAAAACTTGGATTCCTTATTGTGGCCCCGCCCTACCCCTGGTTGGACGGACGGACGACGGACGATCAGAAAAGCTCACTTGAGCTTTCAGCTCAGGTGAGCTAAAAATTGTTTACAGTCAGCCAAGTCGACATCAACTGTCTGATAGATAAGTCCAATAAACCCACCAAGCTTCATTTTCAGAGATACAATTACCATTTAATTATTTTGATTTCCAAGCCATAACTTTAATCTATTTAAATTTCTCTACACCTTTCAGGTATTTAAATCACATAACCTGGTAAACAGGTAAATATCGAGAATGAAGACCAGGAAGTAAATTGTAATATACAGGATTATCAGGGAGGCCATGTTGGATTTAGAGGTGAGACAACATTTAAGCATTGAATTCATATTTTGGGATGTCTTCGGTCCTATAACACACCTGGCTGTGCCGACAAATTGAATACCGCGCATTAGCGCGGTATGATAATTTGTCGGCACGGCCAGGTGTGTTATAGGACCGAAGACATCCCAAAATATGAATTCAATGCTTATATTTACATTCTCTAATTTTTCTTTATCATAATTGTTTATTTCCTTCATGTTTAATGTGAATTTAGCGCCCTTCGGTATTGGCGTGCTTGATAAACGTAATAGCCGGTCGTGACGTCGAAAAGCCGTTTGTGACGTTGAAAAGTTAAATAACGCAGAAAAAAATTGCGAGGAAATAAAATGACAAATTAGTTTTTAATGCACTTTCGCCGTATTTTATGTTAATTTTACGAGGGTAGTTTTTTAAAAATGAAATTGAGTCAAAACAATATACATCTTGGTATTCCTAAATACTGAAAATACATGTAGTTCCTTCTGTGTATTCTATCGCGCTGTGACAAGGTTTCGCGTGTGTTATAGAAAGTTGAACGTCGTGAATTTCTAATGGATTTAATAAAGAAAATTACACTGAATGTAAATATTACATTTTATTGGTAGATTCTTACAAGATACTGAAGATGAGATAATATGAAGCATATAAAACATCACACGATATTACTAGCTGTTGTCTTGATGATCTCAAGTGTAGTAAATTATACATTAACTGAAAGAATTGCATTATTATAAAAAGCTACATTGTACTTTTAATTACACTGATGATTAAAATTACAACAAACTGTATAATGACATGTAAATATCATTACCCCCTTGCAACAGAGTTGAAGAGGATATAATTACACAATTGTATGTGTGTTTGTTATGTGCTGTGTGAAAAGGAAGTGATGTAATTTGCATTCGGAATGATGTAAAGTTGTAAACTGCTGCAATGACTTATAGAATGATATGCTCTAATAAAATTTTGCTATCAAAGTATAACAAGAGGCCCATGGGCCACATCGCTCACCTGAGAAGCTTTGACCATTCTGTTCTTTACCAGATTTCCCCCTTGTTATACATAATGCATCCCCACCCTACCCCACTGATCATAATTTAGACATTTTGAAATCTACACTACCCCATGATCCTTCCATGGGTACATATGTTTCAGCTTTTTTGGCCCAGTGGTTCCTGAGAAGAAGATTTTCAAAGATTTTTCCTATTTATTTCTATATAAAACTTTGAATCCCCATTGTGGCCCAGCCCTTCTCCCGGGGGTCATATTTGAACAATTTAGAATCTACACTATACCAGGATGCTTCCACATAACTTTCAGCTTTTCTGGCCCAGTGGTTCTTGAGAAGAAGATTTTCAAAGATTTTTCCTATATATTTCTATGTAAAACTTTGATACCCCATTGTGGCCCCGCCCTTCTCCCGGGGGTCACGATTTGAACAATTTAGAATCTACACTATACCAGGATGCTTCCACATAAGGTTCAGCTTTTCTGGCCCAGTGGTTCCTGAGAAGAAGATTTTCAAAGATTTTTCCTATTTATTTCTATATTAAACTTTGAATCCCCATTGTGGCCCCACCCTTCCCTCGGGGGTCAGGATTTGAACAATTTAGAATCTACACTATACCAGGATGCTTCCACATAAGTTTCAGCTTTTCTGGCCCAGTGGTTCTTGAGAAGAAGATTTTCAAAGATTTTTCCTATATATTTCTATGTAAAACTTTGATACCCTATAATGGCCCTGCCCTTTCCCCGGGGGTCACGATTAGAATAATTTAGAATCTACACTATACAAGGATGCTTCCACATAAGTTTCAGCTTTTCTGGCCCAGTGGTTCTTGAGAAGAAGATTTTCAAATATTTTTCCTATTTATTTCTATATAAAACTTTGATTCCCCATTGTGGCCCCGCCCTTCCCCCGGGGGTCATGATTTGAACAATTTAGAATCTACACTACCCCAGAATGCTTTCACATAAGTTTCAGCTTTACTGGCCCAGTGGTTCTTGAGAAGAAGATTTTTTAATGACCCAACCCTATTTTTGTCTTTTCTTGATTATCTCCCCTTGCGAGGGGATATGTCCCTTCATTTTAACAATTTAAATTCCCCTTCACCCAAGGATGCTTTGTGCCA